GAGAGGACAAAGTGCCATGGTGTTGTTATTTTGAGGCAGGGTGGGTGGGTGGTTGTGTATGTGTATGTGGAGTGAATGTTGCTCTTCCCCACCAGAACCTCAAGGAGCAGATTAGGCTAATACATCTAGAAAAGCAGGACTGAGCTCTTGGGCATGCTGTGTGACTACATACTTTAAACAGGCCAATTCCCCCTTTCCATGCTCAGCTTACTCCATCCCATTCCCACAAATCTTAACAGAGGAAGGACTGTAGCTCAGAGCACCTGCTTTGCATGCAAAATGCCGCTGGTTTAATTCCTGGCGTTTTGAGTTGGCGGGAGAGGGTGCTGGGTGCTGTAAGTCTCCCTTTCCAAATGAGCAATCCTGTATCTATGGGGAGTAGAAGAAAGTGCAAGAGAAAGATTGCCAAACCAGTTCCTTCCTCGAGGTAATGACTATGGCTCCTTGTTAAGCATGCGATTTAGCATCATGTTGCCATAGAGCAAATCATTATCATTATTAAGGTTTATATACCACCCTTCATCAAAAGATCTCAGGGCAGTTCACAGAATAAAATACAGGATAAATCACAAGTAGCCACCTCTCACCTGGCTGGTAGATGGAAGCCAGAGTTCTGAGTGAGAGAGCTGGAAGAGACATGCCTTGCTCTGTGGACTTGGAGCTCCCCCTGGAAACCTAAAGAGGAGAGCAAGATGGGAGTGTTGCTATGAGACCCTCCATCCTATGCTCAGTTTGTAAAGGTAAAAGTAAAGGGACCCCTGACTGTTAGGTCCAGTTGCGGATGACTCTGGGGTTGCGGCGCTCATCTTGCTTTACTGGCCGAGGGAGCCGGTGTTTGTCCGCAGACAGCTTCCAGGTCATGTGGCCAGCATGACTAAGCCGCTTCTGGCGAACTAGAGCAGCGCATGGAAACGCTGTTTACCTTCCTGCCGGAGTGGTACTTATTTATCTACTTACACTGTGTGCTTTCGAACTGCTAGGTTGGCAGGAGCAGGGACCGAGCAACGGGAGCTCACTCCGTCGTGGGGATTCGAACCACTGACCTTCCGATTGGCAAGCCCTAGGCACTGTGGTTTAACCCTCAGCGCCACCCACGTCCCATACTCAGTTTGTATATAAGTATAAATGAAACCATATCTCCTAAAGACACCACAGTCTCCACTGACCCTCATTCCAAGGAAATTGAACCCTGGGTAAGCGCAGGCACCCTTGGGATGTCTTGTTGTTGCTTGGATATTGGGGTGGCATGTAACAGCTGGCATCTCCAAGCAGGGCTGTGACCCTAGGAGGGTCACTGCCAAGTCACTGTAGGCACTGCCAACCTAAACAGACTAATGATCTGATGGGATAAGGCAGCTTCCTGGTTTCTAGCCCTCATGTTGCTGTTTCCAATAAATAAATGGCCCCCAACCTGAAATGTCTATAAAACGAATCCCAAATTCTATTGCATTTGGGGGGGGCAGGAAGGATTTGAGGCTGAACCCATTTTTACTATCTAGCGCTTCATAGCCATCTTCTGGTGTTTAGCTGCTCGTTTTTAAAGAAAAAACAACAGCAGGTTGTAAGGACCATTCTAATGTGGTTTCCACACATTTGCTCGTTCCTCCGGAACTGCCGCCCTTTGTTCATGTGCATTTTTTGGAGAATCCAGACAATATCCTGATTCTGGTGCTTTATGAGTTGTCCTCCCATATTTTTCCCCCTAGACCTGGTTTTGGAAATTGCATGTTATGACAGAACACAACAAAAGCCGACTCATCAAAGGGCATTTTATACCTAATCAAAAAAACACAGTACCGCGTAGAGCAAAAAACCAAACCAATTCAACAAACAATGAATGCAATTCAAGACCAATTCATAGTGATTCAAATATCAGAAACAGGTGCTGAGCACCAGCTGTGTGCCAGCAGACCCCCCAAACCCTAAAGCTGTTGGAAATGTTGTGCTGACTCCCAGTTCTTAGAACAGATGTAGAGAGATATTTTTTTTCCAGAGGGGCCACATATCAGTGGTGCATAGGGTCATAAGCAAAAATGGGTGGAGCAAGTGTACATTTCACATGTGTATAGCAGGGTAGTTTCTATCAACACACTTCCCCCTCTCTCTCCCTCATCTAGGCAAACAATGAGCATTGTCAGAGCTCAAGGACACATTCCAGCCAGGCATAAACACTCACCGAGGGTGCAAAGCAGAGCTGGTGGGGTGCATGGGTTGGGGGAGAAGGGGTGCGGTCTGAGGAAAGTCTCTTGGGTTACTGCCTTACAGGGTTGTTGTGGAGATTAATTGTGGAAGGAGAGAACCACATGCACCACTCTGAGCTCCTCGAAGGAAATGCTGGAATGTAAACACAATTAATAAAATAACAATAAATAGGGGAGAAGTTGGGAGGGCTGCATTTGGCCCCTGACCCCAAGGGTTCCCATCTCAAACCGCTGCTCAGTTCAGATTTTCCAGAGTCTGTTCTGTCTGTTCGTTGGACGTATAATTCTACAAGCCTGCCTGAGTTACATGCACACACAAATGTGTATACAGTATTGGCTATATGCCAGGTTAATCGCCATTACTTCTCCCAAAGGATTCTGGGAATTGTTGAATGGGGGGGGGAGTTTCCCCTAACCCCATTGCTACCACTGTGGGCCCCACAATATCCTTGGACTGCGGAGACCTCTGTTAAATCCTTGAAGTGTAGTCAGTCCCTAGGTAAGAGTTTCAAGGGAGTGCACACAAGGTAATGCGGAGAAAGGGGTTCAGTGTCCTCACCCGAACACCCATTTTAATCTGAATCTGAAACTGAACCCAGAACCAGGCAGTCACACAAAGCAACAAATGTGGCTGCCCTCTCGCTTCCAGGTATGTGTTTGTTCAGATTGTTCAGCATATTCACCTTTTTAGGCAAAAGGCCCACTCAAGGCGGCTTACGATACAGTAATGTAAAATGATACAACAAAACAAAATGCAGCAACAATTGATCCAATTGCCAGCTGGAGCTGCTTGTTGTGACAGCCCGCCATGTGCCTGCCATCGCCACGTCCTGCACTGTACGGTCTCTGCTGTACATAAGCTCAGTGCCCTGGGATGGTCAGGAAACACTGCTCTTCCCCCATCCTTCCCATTCTGTTGGCGCCAGGTGGCTGGCCATAAATATATTCTGCAGACTCAGGGCATTGCATGAAACTTGCTTCATTGCAGGCACCTTGAGGGCCAGGTCTAAATTTGGCCAGGCAACGGGGTGGGAGGCAGGGGAGCTGAGATCAGGATGCTGTGGAATGAACTGAAGGCAATGTATGATCCCATATGCTCCAATTGGACCTGTTTAGTCATATTTCACACACAGAGAGGAACATACCCACTTCTTCTCCAAAAACAAGGAACTCCCAGCCAGTCACCTGCTTCCCCGAATAGCTAGATGTATTTATTTTTTACCATGATTTAGAAACCAATCACCCAGGATGTGCAAGTCTCATAGCAGTGTCAGTTTAACACCTGCCTGCCAAGTATAAATGTCCTGTACAGTATCTTTATTTGAATGATCACATGCCCTCCAACTTTTCTATGATGAAAATAGAGATGGTCTATTCCATCATCATCACCATCATCACCATCAATTTATGATTTATACCCTGCCCATGTGACTGGGTTGCCCCAGCCACTCTGGGCAGCTTTCAACATATATAAAAAACAATAAAACATTAAACATTTAAAAAAGCTTCCCTATACAGGGCTTCCTTCAGATGTCTTCTAGTATTTGTATAGTTACGCATTTCGCTGGCTCATACCTTCCAACATTTATCTGATGAAAATAGGAACAACCTAAGGAAAAGTGGAGCATGCCAGGATCAATTGGGATGGCTTCTGTAAATCCAGCACTGTCCCTAGAAAACAGGGGCACTTGGAGGGTCTGATATCTTGGAGATGTATTTATTTTTTTACCTAGGGCTGCCATACGTCCAGGTTTTTCCAGACATGTCCGGAAATTGTGCAGGAAAACGGCGTCTGGGTGGATTTTTGGCAGATTGGCAAAATGTCTGAAAAACCCAGACACACAAAAGGGGGGTGTTATATATATATATATATTTATCATTTGAAAATTCGAAAAAAGGCCAAAAATAAAAAAGCTCAACAACTTTGTCCAGATTTTCACTTTGGGGAATATGGCAACCCTTTAGAAACAAAGCACTCCAACACCCAAGCTGTGCTAGTCTCATGGCAGTGTCAGTTTAGTGTCCACCTTCCACCTGCAAAGTCTAAATGGAGTGTTTCAGTATCTTCACCAGGAAATAGCTAAATACTCCTTCTAGAAGGGGGGAGATATTCTGGAGAAGGGGCAGGTATTCCTTCCCGCATCTCCACCCCATTCTAAGTAAGCAAGGAGTCTGTATGTAAAGGACAATAGATTGGCAGCTTTAGCAAAGCTGGAAAAGGACATCATTAAGAAGACCCATTTGGTCCAGCATCTCATTCTCACAATGGCCAACCAGATCCCCCCAGGGAAGTCCACAAGCATGTGCAACAGTGTTCTCCTTACATTGGAGATCCCCAGAAACTGATATGCAGAGGCTGAGTCGCTCTTTAGTTGAATACAACCCTCAGTAATTACAGTGTGCGTGTTTTATTTATTTGTTTAAGGCATGGGTAGGCAAACTAAGGCCCAGGGACTGGATCCAGCCCAATTGCCTTCTAAATCCGGCCCGCGGACAGTCCAGGAATCAGCATGTTTTTACATGAGTAGAATGTGTCCTTTTATTTAAAATGCATCTCTGGGTTATTTGTGGGGCATAGGAATTTGTTCATTTCCCCCCAAAAAAATATAGTCTGGCCCCCCACAAGGTCTGAGGGACAGTGGACCGGCCCCCTGCTGAAAAAGTTTGCTGACCCCTGGTTTAAGGCATCTTTATGCTGCTTAATTATTAGCATTTCAATGCAGTCATCATAAAAACAGAGATGCGATGTGTATGGGTATTCGGTGACTCAGTTGACCATTGCCATTGTGTTTCCTGCAGACATTCACAGCCTGGTGTAACTCTCACTTGAGGAAGGCAGGAACGCAGATTGAGAACATTGAGGATGATTTCCGGAATGGCCTGAAGCTCATGCTTCTGCTGGAGGTGATTTCAGGTATATATATATATAAAAAAAAGCTTTGGGGAGGGTGGTGATCTGTGGAGCTGCCCAGGGGCAAGAAATGTGGAGCGGGGAGGTTGAGGCAAAATTTGCAAGCCACAGACACAATAAAACTTTTACAATTTGTTCAACTTCTGCCTAAGACTCCAAATGACCAAGTGGCAGGATCTGCTACATTTAATTGGAGTTAGCAGTAGGTCTGTTGCAACCTCCTTTGTGATTTTTCATTTTGAAATCTTTAAGATAATATATTAGTTTCCTGTTGATGGTGTTGCTTTGAACGAATACTTTATATTTGACTCTCCCTCGTCCTCCATCTTCCCTCCTCCTCCTCTTCTCCCCAAAGGTGAAAGGTTGCCAAAGCCAGATAAAGGGAAGATGCGCTTCCACAAGATTGCCAATGTCAACAAGGCACTAGACTTCATCGCCAGCAAGGGGGTCAAGCTGGTATCTATTGGTGCTGAGGGTGAGTGTTTGGGAACTCATTCCAGAGGGCTGGAGATGTAACACTAAAAGCCTGATTTGTAGTGCATGCTAAGCACATCTCTGGGGCGTGTGGTGCTCTAAGCGCCAGAAGTAGCCAACATGGTGCTATCCAGATGTTGTTTACCAACTCCCATCATCCCCAGCCAGCACGGCCAATGATAATGGATGCTGAAGAACAGGTCTGCATGGGGATGAGGTCGTTCCTCAGATTAAGCTGTTGAGGGCTTTAAATGCTAAAAGCGAAAGCTTGAACTGCATATTAGCAACCAGTACAGCCCTCTGAGCAGAGGGATGTCCCACTCAACAGCACAACCTTTATAGGTTAAAGTAAATTGCAAGGTCCCCTTCAAAGATCTTTACTGGAACTGGTACGATTTAGCTTATTTATAAACAATCTGGAGTCAGGGTGAGCAGCGAAATGGGTAAAGGAGTGGATAGTACCAAATTATTCAGCCTGGCAAAACTCAAAAAGTGGTACATAAATAAGCCCAATAATGACTGAATCCAGACTTGCTCTCCAGATGTTTTGGACAGACATCCTTCCCAGGTTGTGCCCCCACAGAAGGAGATTATATCTCCAAACATGTCTCGAATCCCTTTGGTGAAAATCCATGTCTCATTTGTGCGGTTTTGTTGAGACAACTGAAACGATGCAGGTCTGACCCCAAACACTGTGGTTCTCTAAGCTCCCTCCATCCCCTCCTGCTTTTCCAGAAATTGTGGATGGGAACCTGAAGATGACTCTGGGCATGATCTGGACAATCATCCTTCGATTTGCCATCCAGGACATCTCGGTGGAGGGTGAGCAGAAGGCCACACAAGCCCCTCGCGGCATCCCGGTCTGCTTTTTTAAGGGGGGAGCTGTTGGCTCACTTGCTTTGCATACAGAACATCCTGGGTTCAATCCCCAGTGGCATCTGCCAGTCAGTGTAGACAATACTAAGCCGGACAGACAAGGGTCTGACTCAGTACAATGCAGCTTCCTATGCTCCTAGGACCCAAGTGGAAAAGGGAACAGGACCAGCTTAGAGTCCCATAGATAAGATACCCTCATCCTTTTTGCCATGGTCCTCACTGCCCTTTCCCTTGTCCTCTTCTTTCTGACCACAATATGCGCTGCTGCCCAGAGGGAGCAGGCAGGGAAGGTAGAGGCAGCGGCTGCTTCATCTCTCTCTCTGGCCTCTGCTCAAAAAGGGAGCAATGCTCAGGCAGATCAACGAGGCCAGAATGGGGAGTCACCTGCTCTGGAGTGCCCCCCCAGGCAGCTGACCAACAATGACAGTCTTTGGTGCTGGTCTCCCCACCCCCTCAATTGCAGAAGGTCCCAAGCTCAACTCCCAGCACCACCAGTTAAAACCACCAGATGTCAGGTGATGGGAAAGGGTGTGCTTTGCTGGGAATCCTGAAAAGCCACTGGCAATGGGAATGGGCCGTCCTGCAATAGGTGGGCAGGCTGGCATGGCTTAGTGGTGCTGGAGCAAGTGCATTGCAGGAAGGTGTAATGATGGGAAAGAAGAAGAAGAAGAGTTTGGATTTGATATCCCGCTTTATCACTACCCTAAGGAGTCTCAAAGCGGCTAAGAATCTCCTTTCCCTTCCTCCCCCACAACAAACACTCTGTGAGGTGAGTGGGGCTGAGAGACTTCAGAGAGAAGTGTGATTAGCCCAAGGTCACCCAGCAGCTGCATGTGGAGGAGCGGAGACGCGAACCTGGTTCCCCAGATTACGAGTCCACCGCTCTGAATCACTACACCACACTGGCTGAGACTTTGGAGAGTTGCTGTCAGTCGATAGTAGAAAATGCCATCTACTCTGAGCGGACAAGAGTAGGCAAGAGCCAGTGTCCCTGCCGGGCATCAAAGGAACTCCTGGGTCTTAGCTAGCACAGAGCATCCATTGCCTGAGCCTTCCTTCCTTCCTTTCTTTCCAGAAACCTCAGCCAAGGAGGGGCTGCTGCTGTGGTGCCAGAGGAAGACTGCTCCCTACCGGAATGTCAACGTGCAAAACTTCCACATCAGGTATAAAGTAAGGGAGGGGGCGGGGGGGTCACAAACAATTTGAGCTGCATTCATTGTTTGCTACACGCTTGCAAGTGCACAGGCTGTGCATAGCAAAAGAGGGTTTGGAGCGATAAAATTTCTACGCAACCAGGATACAAGAAGAGGAGGAGGAATAAGAAGAATTGAATCATAGGATTGTAGAGTTGGAAGGTACACCAGGGGTCATCTAGTCCAACCCCCTGCGATGCGGGGATCTCAGCCAAAGCATCAACGGCAGATGCTTTTATTTGACAAATAAAATGATGACAAATGATTTTTGTTAGTTTGTTGAATTGGATTTCTTGCCCACCCTTCCCAGGGCGGCTTACAGCAATAAAACGCATAACTATGAAACAAATACAATAGTTACAATGGCAGAACAAGAAAAAGTGTAAAATAGTTCAAATGAAAAGCAATTCTGTATATAAACAAACCCAAATATTTTAAAAACCCTTCCATATATAAAAACAGAGCTAAGGCAGCAGAGCCATGGGACTCTTAATCTCAGGGCTGAGGGTTCAAACCCCACGTTGGGCAAAAAGATTCCTGCATTGTAGGGGGTTGGACTAGATGACCCTCATGGTCCCTTCCAGCTCTACAATTCTATGATTCTATGGCACTTGCCTGATAGGTTAATGGGAGGGAGGTGTTGCGGGGATTCAATGAGGAGGCGGACCATCTGCACTACACTGAGCTCTCGGATGAAAAAGGCGGGATAAAAATGCAACAAAATTAATAAATAAACTTTCTGTCTGTGGAAGACAGAATTCCCTAAAGGAAAACGGGGTGGGATTGGGGTGGGGGGCAGTCAGGGCTTTGTCCCTGGTTCCGTTCAGTGTGAGGAGCCTCCCCCAGTTCCCAGTTCTGCCTGCTTTGAGGCAAAAGAGCTTTTGCAGAACCCCAACTCTGCAATAGGGACATTTAAGCATAAATAAATACCACACCTACCAGCTGGATTCAGCATTTGTTTGCCTGACAGTTGGCTTGAAACTGATGCATGGCATGGAGGAACAACACCAGAGCTGGGTGCCAAAAGGGACTTAGCTCCTAGGCTAATTTCCTGCAACCAGCCTCCTCTGCCCAGAGGGCAACAGGGCCAATGTTCCTGCAGGAAGAAGGAAGCCAGTTCTGGCCAGGGGACCCCCTTCCTCAGCCCGAGGGCCACATTCCTTTCAGGGCAACCTTCTGAGGGCCACACGCCTATGTTGGGCAGAGCCAGAGGCAAATGTGGCTGGAGCATTAGATGACTATTATTATTATTTGTTAAATTTCTATGCCGCCCTTCATCTGAGGGCGGTTTACAATATAAAAACACAAAAAATGCATAACATAGTGACAAAGAAAAACAGTGCCCTCTTCCTACAGCTTAAAAAAGACCGTCAATTGTTTAATTAGCCAAAGGCCTGGGAGAAGAGGAAGGTTTTTTCCTGGTGCCTAAAGATATGTAGGGACACATTTCAGTCAGGCAAAAGCATCCAAGGAAGGCGCAAAGCAGGCCTGTTGAGGGACATGGCTTGGGAAGAGTTCCCAGGGCCGCACAGAGAGGCCTGGAGGGCCGCATCCGTTCCCTGAGCCTGAGGTTTGCCTCCCCTCTATGGACTAGATTTGCTCCTTCCGCAATGTCTGCTTCTGTTCCTCCCTTTTCCTCTTCATTTGCACCCTGTGCCTTTGCATACCTGGATGGGGCAGCCGCCATTTCTCTGACAAAGGATGTTGGACCAAAGCTGGAGGCCACCCAGACCCAGCTGAAGAGACCCAGGACTCACTCATTCACCCTTTCCCTCTTCTCTCTCCATGCCCGCGTGCTGCCCACCAGCTGGAAGGATGGCCTGGCACTCTGCGCCCTGATCCACAGGCACCGCCCTGACCTCATTGACTACGCCAAGCTCAGAAAGGTGCTGTCTTCCTCTTGCGTCTTCCTGGCTGCGCCCATTCCTTTCAGGCTCTCTGCTTGCGATCTCTGCAGTGTCTGCTGGCATCTTTGTCCTTTGAGTCAACCTGTGATTTCCATCACCCACCCCCCTGCCCCGCCAATCACCCAGCTAGAGCAAATAGGACTCTCCTTGTGGCTCTCATTTCCAGCAATCCGACCCCTGTGTGTCTGGGCCCAAAGATCCACTGCTTCGTCCCTGTCCGCCATTATGGTGGGCGTTTTGCTCAGTGGCTGAGAGTCTGCTTTGCATGCAGAAGATTGTAGGTTCAGTTCCTGGTGTCACCAGTTTAAAAGATGAGGTAGAAAGGAATGGGGGAGACCCTTCTCAAGACCCTGGAGAGCTGCCGCCTGTCAGAGGAGATGGAGACTGGTCTTGATAGAGTCTCAGCAGCACAAAGCAGCTTTTCATACCTGTAGCAAGTTCAGCATGAGCAGCAATAAGTAGTGTCTCAGTTAGGAGCTGTCCACCTTCCGACTCATCCTCACCTGTAACCCTGCCAGCTACTCCTTGCCATGGTGTAGCGACTCGTTCCGAGCAACTGTGTCTGTCTGTCCACAGGATGACCCCATTGGGAATCTCAACACAGCCTTTGAGGTGGCTGAGAAGTATCTGGATATCCCTAAAATGCTGGATGCAGAAGGTGAGGAGCCAGGCACCGTGTGTGTGTGTTTGTGTCTGAGTGAGAGAGTTGGAAGGAACCCTGAGGATCCTCTAGCCCACGGTTTCCAAAACCTGGGTCTCCAGCTGTTTTTTTGGACTACAACTCCCATCATCCTTAGCTAGCAGGACCAACGGTCGGGGATTATGGGAACTGTAGTCCAAAAGCAGCTGGATACCCAAGTTTGGGAAACCCTGCTCTAATCCAACCCCCTGCAATGCAAGAATACGCAGGAATATGTCCCATATGGGAATCAAACTTGCAACCTTGGTGTTATCAGCACCATGCTCTAACCAACAGAAAGAGAGAGGTTTAGGGATGAAGGGTGATGAAAGGGTCTGAAGTGGGGAAAGCACCTGTCTTTTGTAAGAGAGGCAAATCAGCCTCCCAAAGGGCCCAAGAGCAAATTAAGACTTATCTTCCCCAGACCCATCTGCTATGCCAAACCCATCTCTGGTTTCTGCTGGACCTGCTTGCAAGCCACATGCTGGGTAGCCTTCTTCTGAAGTGCCTGCTCTATTTATTTTTAATTTTTGGTAAAAGTTTTATTTCATATATATATATATAAAGGCAGAGAGAGCAGTTATAGCTGCAGATGAAAATTAAAAGTTGAGAAACAAGACCATAAAATAAGCACATAGAATAAGTGCTGTTATGGGTTAAGTAACCAAGCCAGAGTCATGATAGAAAAAAGTGAGAATTAAAGTTGTATTCTCGTAAAGTGCTGTATGATATTAGTGCCATTTGATTGTCAAGTATTGTCTCAGATTTGTCAGGCTTTTGATTAGGGTTGTCTTTAAAATGATGCCAAATCATATAAAAAGCGTCTGAAAGTGAGCATAGAATCATAGAATTGTAGAGTTGGAAGGGACCACGAGAGTCATCTAGTCCAACCCTCTGCAATGCAGGAATCTTTCGCCCAGCTTGGGGCTCGAACCTACAACCCTGAGCTTAAGAGTCTCAGCTCTACCAACTGAGCTTCCTTGCCCTTGTCGAAATATCAGATTAAGAGTGATTTTTCTCCATTGTAGCTGTATTCCAGAGCGAGTGGTACCTAGCGTCCAGTGTAAGATTTTGGGCTGTTTTCCATTGAATTGTAATTGCCATTTTGAACTGCCACGGTTGTATTTAAGACCAATTCTTTTGGCAACGTATCTCCATTTGCGCCATCAATATAATTCAGCAGCACTGGCGAGTGGGCCTCTCTACTGAGCGCCTCGCTGCTCTCCACCTTCAGCTTTTGTCTTCTTCCCACAGATATTGTCAACACCCCCAAACCGGACGAGAAAGCCATCATGACCTACGTCTCCTGCTTCTACCATGCCTTTGCAGGTGCAGAGCAGGTAAGCAAAAAGAAGCGGTAGCAGCATTTCCCCCTGGGTCTACATATCTGCAGCAGAGAACTATGCTAGCCCAGTCCCTTCTTCCTTTTAGAATCATTGAATTGGGGGTCTTCTATGACGACCCACTGCTCAGTGCAGGATGCATCTAAAGCATCGCTAACAGGCTGCCATCAAGACACAGCATAACTGCCTCCAGCAAAGGAGAGCTCACCCTCTCAAGGCAGCCTGCATTAGTGGTTGGACAGCTATTACTCTTAGGAAATTTATATCGAAGTTTGCTTGAAATCTACTTCGCTGGAATTTTTACCCATTGGTTCCAGTCTTGCCTTCTGGAGCCAAAGATGACAGTATTGATGGATTTAATGGTGGTGGTAGCAGTTTGATCTACAGACCACAAACATGAGACAAAATATTTGATTATCAAGACAGCTTGGGGAAAGGTTAGGGCTCTATGAAAGAGCATCTGCTTGGCATGCAGAAGGTCCCAGGTTTAATCCCCAGCATCTCCATGTGTGGCTGGGAGAGTCTCCTGCCTGAAACCTTGGAGAGCTGCTGCCAGTCAGTGTAGGTAATACTAAGCTAGGTGAACACAGTATAAGGCATCTTCCTGTGTTCTAGCCACGACATATTTATATACATGCACAACAGACCGTGCCTTTTAAAATAAGACTATAGCAAAATCAAAAATAGTTTTAAAATAGCAGATAATTTTGAGTCAGGGCTCATCTTCCCTTTGACAATTGCTCCCTAGTGTTGGTGGCTACACCAGCGATGACTGTAGTGCCGTCAAGGTGTACAGCACTTTACAGAGTACAAGAGGAGAGGTTTGTGCTTCAAGGGGTTTCACTCTGAAATTTGCTGTAGGGGGAATTAGCTGTGGAGGAAGGGGAAGCAGGAGGAAATGGGTGGTGGCTGGTTGAGGAAGCATGAAGCTATTTCACTTGCAAGTGTTTGGCTGCGTTGTAGGACACAGGGCCCTATACAAACTTGATACATCCAAATACATGGGTGGTATTCAACTATGTTTTATTAAGAGTAGACACATGGAAAACAATGGACCTGACATGGTCATGGTTACTAATTTCAGTGGGTCTATTCTAAGTAAAACTTAGTTTATTCTACATAAATGTCCCTCAATTTCTGTCTGGGTTTTTTTTGGGGGGGGTTGGGGGGGTTGCAACTTTCTGCAAACCGCCCCCCCCGCCACCCCCACAAAAAAACCCTTTAAAGCAGAGCTTTCCAAACTTTTCAAGTTGGTGATACACTTTTTAGACATGCATCATTTTGTGACATAGTAATTCAGTTTTACTAGCAAACTGGAGGTTAAACTAACCCCTTTCCAGCCCCAGGAGGAGTATGGGGAGTGTTCACACAACACACCTACACACTGCAGCCGACACACTAATATGTCTCGACATACAGAAAGCTCTGCATTAAAGCTACTTCCCCACTAATCCCATAGTGCAGCCGGAGTGAAGCACGGATGCTGAGCCCTAGGCAAGTAGATTTGATAAATGTACATAGTTTGCTCTGGAATTTGAGGTTGCATCATGGGAAGTTGTTTTTTATTTTATTTTTTGCTTCTGTAAATAATTTTTATTCATTTTCCAATTTAAAAAAACATTCATCTTAATAACAAATCAAGCCAAATCTTACCACATTCAAAAACAAAAAACAATAGAGTCCGAATTAAATAATTCCAATGAGACGTCCCATGGTCTGGATTTCAAGAGCTAATGTCCATCATTTATTTTCTGCTTTCTTCTTTATTACTTCCAAGTTTTCCAATCCTGATATTGACTATCCTCTACTCTCAGTCAGTCAGTCACTGGTATAACTCTCTATCTTGTTTTGTTTAACGATTCTATATTTCTATAATCAGATAGGAGGCAAATTTTCGAACCATGGGAAGTTTTTAAAGCTCTGAATGCCCTGGCATGTCTTTCACCTGATGCCCACCAACTCCCGGTCTAATCTAAATGATCTCTTTATGCTTCCTCCCTGCCCACAGCTCTTTGGTGTTGTTATTTACTATTCCCATTTCTAACCAGCAAGTGCACTTCTCTTCCAGGCTGAGACGGCAGCCAACAGGATCTGCAAGGTGCTTGCTGTCAATCAAGAGAATGAAAAGCTGATGCAGGAGTACGAGAAGCTGGCCAGCGAGGTATCTTGAAACTACCCACGCGGAAGTCCCCAAAAGCAATGCCCCTTTCGCACCTCCAGGCCAATTCCTTCCTACCAGGAAACAGAGCACTGAACTCAGAAGCAGAATTCCTGGGTTCAGTTCACAGGGCCCAATCTGTCCCAGCATTTAATGCTTGTTTGCTTACTTCCCTTGAAGCTTTCGTGGGTCGGTGGGAGGGGAATCGCAGATTCACATTTGCACTGCTGTTCCGTCCAAGTTGGGTCATGGCGGCAGCTCAAAGATATGGTAAAAGATTAAGATGTGGGCCCCCAAAATGGTTGTTTGGGCTTAAGGCGGGCTTCTAGGTCTCAAGAGGTTGGCAGCATACAGGACAGCATGTCTCGATTCCGCAGCCCCAAACAGCCAACTAAGGCCACCTTCTGTTTCTTCCCGGTCAGCTCCTGGAATGGATCCGGCGCACCATCCCATGGCTGGAGAACCGCGTGCCAGAGAAGAGCATGAGCGCCATGCAGCGCAAGCTGGAGGACTTCCGGGACTACCGGCGCGTGCACAAGCCCCCCCGCGTGCAGGAGAAATGCCAGCTGGAGATCAACTTCAACACTTTGCAGACGAAACTGCGCCTCAGCAACCGCCCGGCCTTCATGCCCTCTGAGGGGAAGATGGTCTCTGTAAGTCACAGGGCGGCAGGTGGGCATAGGGCAGGTGGGGGGGTGAGAAAGAAAGCTCCCCAGAAGATGGCTGAAATAAAACCATCCCTGCTTGCCAGTCTGAGAAAGCAAAAGCGGTGACGGGGCCAGTCTTCCCTTGGGAGCCTGTTCCAAGTGATAGCTAGTCAGTTGGGTCTTAATTAAGCTTTGGGGTCCCAATGGAGACAGTAAACTGTGTCCAAGGGAGTGGAAAGTGGTTTGAGGTGGTGGGGGGTTATTCCATTGATTCCCAACAAGAATCAGGCCCATGGGCCAGATCCAGTTCCCTACCCTGCTCTGCACAAACAGGTATTGTAAGGTTTTGAAATGTTTCTGTTTAACAGAGGCTAAAAATTGGGGTGAGGGCACAAGCTCCTGGTCCCCAACCAGGTGTTTACAGTGCCTTCCATTGAGCCAGGGGGTGTCAAGAGTGGGCACAGATGTGGCTGTAGGCTATGAGCCCAAGTGCCAGGAAGGATCTCTTTCCCAGGTTTCTGCCTGGACACCAGCTCCTGGTGAGCACAGCTGCAGGTCCTGCCACTTTGAGGGGAGATTCAAATAACTGTAGAGTTGGAAGAGACCGTAAGGGTTAATCCAGTCCAACCTCCTGCAATGCGGGGCTCGAACCGACAACCCTGAGATTAAGGAGCCTCATGCTCTACCAACTGAGCTAGGCTGAAGCTGCCCTGTGTTTGCCTGCAGGATATTGCAAATGCCTGGAAGGGGCTGGAGCAGGTTGAGAAAGGCTATGAGGAATGGCTGCTGACCGAGATCAGGCGCCTGGAGCGCCTGGACCACCTGGCTGAGAAATTTAAGCAGAAAGCCACTCTGCACGAGACCTGGACCAGAGGTAACCTGCCCGCAATTGAGCCCCTCCCTCTATTCCAGGGGCAGGGAACTGCTTTTATATCAAGGGTTCTGTTCCCTTGGGGAAAACTTTTTGGAACTACATGCCAGGGGTAGGTGGGGCCAAAAGTAGGCGGGGCCAGAGCTTTCTGCCTCCCAATCCACTATCCTCCCCCATACATTCTCTTTCATGGGTTTTTAAAGCCTAATTATGGGTAAATTTTCAGGACAGTAGTGTTGAAGTAAGGGTAGCAAAAACACAGCTAAGAAGCTCGAATCGTATACAGTGGTGCCTCGCAAGACGAAATTAATCCGTTCCGCGAGTCTCTTCATCTTGCGGTTTTTTCGTCTTGCGAAGCACGGCTATTAGCGGCTTAGCGGCTATTAACGGCTTAGCGGCTTAGCGGCTATTAATGGCTTAGCGGCTTTAAGAAAAAGGAAACAAACTCGCAAGAACTTGCAAGACGTTTCATCTTGTGAAGCAAGCCCATAGGGAAATTCGTCTTGCGAAGCACCTCAAAAAACAGAAAACTCTTTCGTCTAGCGAGTTTTTCGTCTTGCGAGGCATTCGTCTTGCGGGGCACCACTGTATATGACTGACTCCCTTCTTTGGAAATTAAACCAATGCCCAGACTTGAACATTCAAAAGCTTCCCCTGCAGATAATTATACAGATAAATTAAAACATAATGTTTTCAGTTAGGCCACGCCTTGCAGCTCCTATGAGAGATTCCAACTTTTTGCCTTCTCCTGCAGCTTTGCTCCCTTTTCTTTCAAGCAGAGAAGTGCTCCAACCCTCTATTCAACTTAACAATGTTCACATTGGATTCTAAAACACAATCATCTTGCTTCACATAAAACAGAGCCTCTCCTTCACTAGATACCTCCAATGTGATCAGTGTTAGCCAATCTCATAAGAAATACTAGAGCGCTCTAGAATCCAGTTACCAAACAATCAAATTTAATCACATGGTAATAAATTACGGTACTTAATGAGTAGTGGCAGGATTCACCTACCTCTTCCCAAAAGTTAGTGAAAGGTTCTCTTTCACTCCTTTTGGGGGAGCAGGGGGTCTGTGGAGGAGGGTTGGGGCCTAAGAGGAGAGGTCACAAGACAGATCCAAAGGCGGAGATCCCCTCTCCTCCTGTGTCCATCCCACTCTTCATATTCCACTCTTCGTTGCTCTGCTCCCAGCCCAGCCTCTCACCCCAGCTCTGCTTCCTCCCACCGCAGGGAAGGAGGAGATGCTCTCACAGAAGGACTACGAATCGGCATCTCTGTATGAGATCAGAGCCCTGATGCGCAAGCACGAGGCCTTTGAAAGCGACTTGGCCGCCCACCAGGACCGTGTGGAGCAGATTGCAGCCATCGCGCAGGAACTCAAGTGGGTGCCGAGGAGAGAGAACATTGCCCTTTCTCCCTTGAGATGAAAGTTGGGTGCTAGTCGAGGGGTCCTGGCTACTCCCACTTCAACCCTTGGCCACCACCCCCAACCTCTCACTTCCTGAAGGCTGGAGGTTCATGGCTTAGTTCTTGTGTAGGACTGGGGCAGCAATAGCTCTATTGCATGTCTGTCAGAATCCCAGGGATGTCTGATTTCACTGGGGTGGAAGGGAAAGGAGAGGAAAACTCCAAATCTTGACTCACCTAAGAAAAGCCCATCTGTCCCAGCATCCAGTTCTCACAGTGGCCAATCAGATGTCTCTTTGAAGAAGCCTGCATGAGCACAGCAGAAACTCTCTCCACTTGTTGTACCCAGGACTATTTTTCTAGAAAAAGAGGTGCTGGAACTCAACATGAACACCTTCCTTGTTCTCTTATAATGGCAATGGTGTCCATCTTAGAGGTACCAGAACTGAGTTCTGGAAAATTGCAGCTGAAAAAAGTCCTGGTTATACCCAGCAACCAAATGCGCTGGGTTCCACCCAACTTTGGGGGACCCTGGCAAGCATATGTGACGTCATACAGTGGGAGGAGACCAGTTGCAGCCGCAGGTAGACCTGGCAGGGCCTGTCGTAGCTGTGGGAAGGCCCAGCGGAGCCCACTGCAAATCACAGAATATTGTGGGAGTCCAGCCCCCTCCTTGAAAATGGGGGGGGGCTCAGCCCCCTGACCCAGATGACACCCCTGCCAGCAACTAGTATTTGAAAGGCCATCAACAAAAACTCCTGTGATTGTGAGGATCTGTTAAGAAAGGTTGACTCTTTGTGGAGTTTTAACTTCAACAAGTGTCTCCTCTTTTCAACTTCTCATACCAATCCTTTTTCGGTGAATTTTGGGAAGAGCTGCAAGAATTTAAAAAGAGAGTCTTTGGAGGGCCTCCAGAGGTCCCTCATCCTTCTCTTAAAGGACTGCCGAGATTCTCAGGTTGCAGAATGCTTGTCTTGCCAGCCCCACAAATGTTCATGCCTTCTTGGCCTTTTTTAATTTCACTATTGTGCTCCATTGAAAGACAACCTTGGTGTGAGCAATAATGGGTTCTACGCTTAAAGTGGTCACATAGTTTTCCTGTTGCATGGCCTTTGGGTGGCTGATTTCCCATTTGTCGCGGTCCCTTGGCTGGGGTGAAGTCAGCCTCCTATTGTGGGTGGGTGATTGGGAAAGGAAAGGTGTCCATTCTGATGCTCTCCTACGGGTGGGGAAGCCCATAGCCTCAGATATGCACCCCTAATCCTTGTGGCCCATCACTACAGTGAGCTGGACTACCACGACGCAGCCTCTGTGAACTCCCGCTGCCAAGCCATCTGTGACCAGTGGGACACCCTGGGGACACTCACTCAGAAGAGGAGAGATGCCCTGGAGGTGAGGAAAGGGGCGCTGGCAGGATTTGGTCCCTTCTTCTTCAGTATGAGGGAGGTGACTTTATTCTCTGATCCTCACCTTCTTTCCTCTCCTTGCCACCCAGCGTGTGGAGAAGCTGCTGGAGACCATTGACCAGCTGTACCTGGAGTTCGCCAAGAGAGCTGCCCCCTTCAACAACTGGATGGATGGGGCCATCGAGGACCTTCAGGACATGTTCATTGTGCACAGCATTGAAGAGATCCAGGTGAGGCGCATCAGCAGGGCCAAATGCTTCTTGAGAACTCCAAGCAATTACATTGGGCCTGAAATTAGAGCTGGAGAAGGTACAGTACAGGTCAACAAGGGGCGTTGGAAGCAACTTCATGTTGGTAAAAAAAAGGGCTTCTTAGCTATGATAGAGGAGGAACATGATACAGGTTTATAACAGTATCATGCAGAGAGTGAGAGCTATCCAACATGGATGACTTTAAAAGAGGATTAGACAAATTAATGGAGGAGAAAGTTATTGATGGATGGCTGTGTTCTACCGCCACTGAATACTTGTTGTTGGGAATCACAGTTGAGCAGGGTGCCAATGCACGTGTGTCCAGATCACAAGTTTTCTGGAGGCACCTGGTTGGCCACTGGGGCAACAGGATGCTGGACCAGGTGGGCTGTGAGCCGGATCCAGGAAGCTCGCCTCATGTTCTTACGAAGAGCAATAGATTTCGGCAAAGCAAAAGGAAGTAGAGAGCTCATTTCCTTCTGCCTGCTGTACTCACCTGGACAGCAACTAACTTTCACCCCTTCCTCCTGGAGCAGAGCCTGATTACAGCCCACGAGCAGTTCAAAGCCACCCTGCCTGAGGCTGACAAGGAGCGCATGGCCATCCTGGGCATCCAGAACGAGATCCAGAAGATTGCGCAGACCTACGGCATCAAGCTGTCGGGCTTGAACCCTTACACCAACCTCTCGCATCTCGACATCGCCAACAAGTGGGACAGGGTGAGACCATCCTTTTTAGAAACCAGCCCTATGGTGTGTCTGCGGGAGCTGTGTGAGGGTCTTGGGCAAAGGCTTTTGCTGGTTCGGGTCACCCCCAAGGTGCTGTGCTCCTCCCAGACTCCTGGGGATACTGTCTTTGCTCCCTTGCTTGTGCTCCCCCTCTCAAAAGACACAGGAGACATCCAGATGGGGTGTGTGGCTATGGGGCACGAAAACTATATACCTCCTCCAGGATCAAAAGTAATGCAACTCTGAATACCAGTTGTTGGGGAATGGTGGCAGGAGAGGGCTATTCATCTATCCATCCATCCATCCATCCATCCATCCATCCATCTGACTGGGTTGCCCCAGCCACTCTGGGCGGCTCCCAACAAAAAATAGTAAAAACACAATACAACATCAAACACTAAAAATTTCCTGCTTGCCTGCTTCCCATGGGGGCATCTAGGATGCTGGACTAGATGGGGCCTTTTTAGTTTGCAGGTCTTACCTGGTGTTCTTATGGGGGACCTGAGCAGACACCCTCCCCTCTGCCAGCTCCAGATTGTTTTCTAGAGAGGAATGGAAAGTCCACTGCCAAGGCACAGATCCATCCCCCGTTTGTTTATAAAATGATTTACAAAATGCCAACTCATTAAAATGATATGTTAAAATCATTAAAGAATAATAAAATGAAGAACAAGTGCCCAACAGTGCAGAAAATTAATTCTCCAACAAAGCTTAGCAAGTAATCCATGTTTTCAGCAAGGGATGAAATATCAGAATTTTAGCTGCCTGTCCAGTTACAGGAGGGCGTTTTCCAAATCTCTGGGGCCTTGGCTGATGCAGAAGCTAAACAATGCTGTGGTCCTTCATCCCTGATTCAATAAGTGACAATAAGTCAAGAGCTCCTCTTTCCAGGAGTAGCTGATTAATTCATTGAGCCTCTAAACCAGATATGGGGAACCTGTCAGGCCCTCCAGCTGTCATTGGACTCCAACTCCTATCAGTCATAGTCAGCATGGCCAGTGATGATGGGAACTGTAGTGAAACCACATCTGGAGGGCTTTCAGGTCCCCTACCCTAAACAAATGCCAAGAGGAACATCTGGAGGTGTAAAAGACCTTTGGGTTCCCCAGCTGCCTTGATGCATGTGCTTTGGAAGTCCTGCTTTCATCCTAGGCAGGAAAGGCTCTAAGTGAGGGGGCAGAGTACCTCCTGTCCTCCCAGGACTACACCCAACAAAACACCAACCCACATCTACCTCCAGTAGGGTCTCTAAACCCCAATACTTATGTGCAGAGTCTCTTTTATCTTGCTTCTCCAGGTGAAGCAGCTGGTCCCACACCGTGATCAAACCCTGCAAGAAGAGCTGGCAAGACAGCAAGCCAATGAACGCCTCCGACGCCAGTTTGCCGCCCAGGCTAACATCATTGGTCCCTGGATCCAGACAAAGATGGAGGTAAGGTCCTCTCCTGCCCCATCCGCCAGGGCAAAATGCCCTCAAGGACCTCAGCTGAGTGGTAGAGCTTTGCATGAAGAAGAAGGTTCTAAGTTCAGTCCCCAATGGCATTTACTGATAGGCCTGGGTAACACTCTGGCCCCAAATGCTTGAAAACTGCTGCTGATCAGCATACAGTGCACCAAATATTTGACTCCATATATGGCAACTCCTTACCTACGCCCCTATCTACCTACATCCCCTGGGAGAGATTACTAGCTCTGTCTGGTGAGGGGGCTGTCTAGTGGGTTAGAAGCAGGATGGGCATTGGAGCATCAGAGCAGGCTTGAGACTCCAGGATGCTTGGACTGCTTCCCTAAGTCAGAATCTTACTGCTATTTCTTGACCCTTCCACCTTACAACCCTCTGGACGCCACCCATAGGAGGGATCCAACAAATGGCTTTGGAAAGGGTGAAATGGCCCTCAACAGGTTATGGCTCCTCTCGTTAGCCAAGAAGTGCTGACCAAATGCAGCAGCTCTGTAAAGCTAATGTATAGTGAATCTGTCTTTGCCAGTGACAAACCATCACTTGTAGGGCAGAGATAGCGAACCTGTGCTCCCCCCAGGTGCTTTTGTACAGCAACTTCCACCAGCCTGGCTACTGGCCGTGTTCTCTGAGGCCACTAAGAATTGGTACCCAGCCACACCTGGGGGGCTACAGGTTCTCCCAGTGCTGCTGTAGAGGAAGGGTGCCCCATGAGATCAGAGCTAGGCTCTAGGGTCTTAAGCTAACAGGAGGCTTCCCTTCTGCCCTCCCCTGGCAGGAGATTGGTCACATCTCAGTGGACATCAGCGGGTCTCTTGAGGACCAGATGAACCACCTGAAGCAGCATGAGCAGAACATCATCAACTACAAGGCCAACATCGACAAGCTGGAGGGAGACCACCAACTCATCCAAGAGGCCCTCATCTTTGACAACAAGCACACCAGCTACACTATGGAGGTGGGGGTCTGCGTGTGTGTTGCAGGGGTGGGGGCATTTTCAGAAACAATTCCCGGGTGGGCTGTTAAGATACATAAAAGTCAAACACCATGATGCATGGGTGTAAAAATTATAAATTTCATGTTTGTGAAAACCAGCCAACTTAAGACTAGTTGCTTAGTCTTCCAAGTAGCAGCTCGCCTTCGTGCACATAAATATAAGCATTTTGAGGCATGCAAGATTACAGAACTATATGAGTATTATTATTATTTACTGTCGTTTTGTATTTGTTGGAAACCGCTCAGAGTGGCTGGGGCAAACCAGTTAAATGGGCAGCAGATAAATAATACGCATAGTAGTAGTAGTAATCTACAAGGAATACCATGAGGAAAATGGGAAATTGATATTTATTCCATGACAATTTGAAATTCGAACTAGAACCTATTTAGTGTGTTGGTAGTCTTATTTGTTGGGGTTGTTTCCTTTCCTTTAATTATTTTATCTTTCTTTTAGCTCTTAAAAGGCAAAACTGTACAAAGTGTGGGATTGTACCAGGCTGAATTTATTCACAGCATTTTTGCTGATTTGTTCATACTATTTTGATTTTCAATAAGTGAATATTAAAAGAGGGGGGATAATTCCTGGCTGAACCCCCCCCCCAGAATGGATCTCCAGCAAGTAGGTGAAGGATTGGGTGGGTGTGATCGCCCCCCATCTCCTTCCCCAGTGCTTCTGGATCTCATTCTGCAAACCCCACTGTCTTTGACTGCATGCAGCACATCCGGGTGGGCTGGGAACAGCTGCTGACCACCATTGCCCGCACTATCAACGAAGTTGAGAACCAGATTCTGACCCGCGATGCCAAGGGAATCAGCCAGGAACAGATGAACGAGTTCCGGGCCTCCTTCAACCATTTTGACCGGGTAAGGTGGCCTCTTGCAAACCCAGCCCTGACCACTCACAGACTCACCGCCGCTTCTCGCTTGCACACTTCTCCTGAGCTTAATCCAGCTGCAAGCCTGTAACAGGCAGCCTCCTGCCAAATTCTTGCCTGCACCTCCAGCTCACGCAGCCCTCACACCTGATCCCTGCTGTTGTTCCAGCCATGGAGGCCAATCTAGAGCCGATCAAAGGATGGAGTCAGGAGTCTGGTCTCTTGTCCTAGACCAAGGGTGAGGGACTCTTTTTCAGCCCAAGGGCCACATTCCCTCATGGGCAACCCAGTGGCAGGAAGGATGAGAGGCAAAAAAGTGGGAGAGGCAATGGGAGGCAAAACCCATGCAGGCAAGCAAGAAGCATGATCATAGGTCAGGGCACTTGAGGGGGGCATGCAGCAGGGCCAACAAAGAAAGGGAAGGGCCATGCCTCAAGGAGAGTCCTGAGGGCCAGGTAGAGAGGCCTTGAGGTTCCTTGCCTTAGCCTAGCTAGATTTTCCTCACCTTGGCCTAGCTAGAGGTTCCTCGCCTTGGCCTAGCTAGATTTTCCTCGACTTGGCCTAGCTAGATTTTCTTCACCTTGCCCTAGCTAGATTTTCCTCCCCTTGGCCTAGCTAGATTTTCCTCCCCTTGGCCTAGCTAGAGGTTCCTCACCTTGGCCTAGCTGGAGGTTCCTCACCTTGGCCTAGCTAGATTTTCCTCCCCTTGGCCTCCCGAGCCGCCCAATAGCTACACATGGCTTTGCTCTCTCTCTCTCTCTCTCTCTCTCTCTCTCTCTCTCTCTCTCTCTCTCTCAGCAACTGTTCAGAGAGGAGGCCAGCTCCTAACGAGCCACGAGAAAGGAGGAGTTGGCTGAGCGCGGGGCTTGTTCACAGACTGCAGAAAGGCTATAGCTCACATGCAGAGCATCTGATTTGCTTGCAAAAGGTCCCGGGTTCAATCTCCAGCTAGTGCTGGGAGAGTCTCCTGCCCAAAACCTGGGTAAACTGTTACCAGTCAGTGTAGACAGTAGTGGGTGAGATGGACCCGATGGTCTGTCTCGGTGTAAGGCCACTTCCTGTGTTCCTATGAGGGGCGCCCAGTGCCACCAGTTTAAGGAGCGTTTCCCTTCAGGAGTGTGGAATTTGGGGCTGGGGGTGTCTCCTTCCAAATCAACAGCTTCTTTCCCCCTCTTTGCTCTTTGCAGAAGAGAAACGGAATGATGGATCCTGACGACTTCCGGGCCTGCTTGATCTCCATGGGATATGACTTGGTAGGAAGCTGCCCCTTTTTGGGGCCCAGAAGGATAGCTTTCCTTACAACATCCGTTGGAGGGCAAATTCTGTGTAGTTTAATATCACAAGGATCTCCTGGTTTGCTTGGAAATGGTGACTGAAGCAAATCCTTGGCCATCCCTAGATAGCAAAACCTGAGTGGAAATGGGTAGGGTCTGCCCTGAGGCAGTTTTCAACCCCATTCCATGATCCAAGGGTGGCTCTGGGTGGGAAAACTGGTCAGGGATGCTGAATGTCCCTTGGCGGGGAGCATCCCTCCCTGTTTGACCCACATCCCTATTGCTCTTCCCTCGTGACAGGGCGAGGTGGAGTTTGCACGCATCATGACCCTGGTGGATCCAAACAACACAGGCGTGGTGACCTTCCAGGCCTTCATTGACTTCATGACTCGTGAGACAGCTGAGACAGACACCGCCGAGCAAGTCGTGGCTTCTTTCAAGATCCTGGCTTCAGACAAGGTAAGCGTTGCACCAAAAGAACAGGAGAAGTGGTGGAGCTATCTCTTGTCCACAGAAGCAAAATAAGTGTCTCTTGCTTATTCATAGGACCCGGCAACATTATGCTGAGGTTGAGTGATATTCTGCAGTTAAAATTAAGATCTAGGCATTGAAACCGGGGACGCGGGTGGCGCTGTGGGTAAAACCTCAGCGCCTAGGACTTGCCGATCGCATGGTCGGCGGTTTGAATCCCCGCAGCGGGGTGCGCTCCCGTCGTTCGGTCCCAGCGCCTGCCAACCTAGCAGTTCGAAAGCACCCCCAGGTGCAAGTAGATAAATAGGGACCGCTTACCAGCGGGAAGGTAAACAGCGTTCCGTGTGCTGCGCTGGCTCGCCAGATGCAGCTTGTCACGCTGGCCAAGTGACCCGGAAGTGTCTGCGGACAGCGCTGGCTCCCAGCCTATAGAGTGAGATGAGCGCACAACCCTAGAGTCTGGCAAGACTGGCCCGTACGGGCAGGGGTACCTTTACCTTTACCTTTAGTCATTGAAACAGAATTCAAAGCCTTCCAATAATCTATTTCCTCTCTTCTTTATTTCTCCTCTCCTCCCGCCGGGCACATTTCAAGCCTTTCCTGGCAAGCCTAGAAAGTATTTTTGCGGGGGGAAGTGGGGGATGGCTTCTTTCCATTCAGGCAGCAGAGAAGAAAAGGTTATCCTACCCATTTTAGGCCCGGGCCTTGTTTGCCCCTGGCATGTAGCCCTTGACAAACTGCCCCTAAGTAAAGTGTGGGGAACCTTTGGTGCTCCAGGTGTTGCTGGAACCACAACCCACCAACAGCCAGGAATGATGGGAGGTGTAGTTTGACAACAGCTGGAGAACTCAAGGTTCCATCACAGCTGCCCTAACAGAAAAATGCTTCCTGGACTCTGTTAGTGAAATCTTGCAACCTAGAACAGGCCTGCACAGTGTGCAATGCGTCAACCACATTCCATTCTGGGCCATCTTCTGTGTTGGGTAGCACCAGAGGCAAAAATGGACAGAGCAACCAAAGTAAAAAAAATTTGTTACCATTCTACAGAAGGCTACTTTCTGTTAGCTCATCTCTACCCTCCATCCAGCCTCAGAAGAGGCATTATCTGCGTTTGAGGGCATGTTCCTGGCAGGCAAAAATGCTGGTGGAGGGTGCAAAGTATGCCACCACAGCATGCAGTCAAGGGAAATAAAATATGGCTAAGGATGTGTAGTCTGGGGGGACAGATAGGGAACCTCGGAGGGCCACATCTGGCCCCCAAGCCTGAGATGCCTCACCCTTGGTCTTTTGAGTAACATGCTTTTCCTCCTTGTTTGATCCTCCTCCCTGCTGCAGAACTACATCACGATAGAAGAGCTACGTCGGGAGCTGCCACCAGAGCAGGCCGAATACTGCATCAGCAGGATGACGAAGTACACAGGAGCTGACGCTGTGTCCGGCGCTTTGGACTATGTCTCCTTCTCCAGCGCCCTGTACGGAGAGAGCGACCTGTGATCTCCCTGCTCCCCGTCCCACCCTGCCCACCTACCCCAATCTCACCAGAAACAAAAAAAAGCACGTGGGAGCAGAGCAACTCCCCACACACTCGCTTGTGGGGAACTGGTGCCATTGAGAGCCTTGTGCCCACCATGGAAGAGGGGAGGGCACTACCGCTACCAACCCCACCACCACCACCAAAATATCTTCCCCCGCTGCTGGGCAAGAGGCTGAGATTCCCCCCACTTCCACCCACATGCTGCAGCTGGTGGATCCAGGGTGGTTTTGGCGAGGAAACAGTCTCTCAAGGTTCCCCCTCCCCCTTTGTAGAAGCTGTCGTGTCTGTTCTTTGCTGCTGAGCTAGTTGCACACATTCCCCCTCTGTCCCACGCATTCCCTTCCCTCTTCCCCAGAACCCCCCTCTTTCCCTTGGCCCACCCCCACAGGAGAGGCAAGTGTTGTTGCTGACCTAGAGGGAGGGGCCACCGTTTGACCAGACGGGCCACCGCCAAGTGCATCTCCTGGGATTTATGCTGGGACTGGGAAGGAGGCGGATACCAGAGGAGGCAGGGGAGGGCTGGCTTGGAAGGAATGCTGTACCAATAAACTGCGCCCACTGGAGGCCCACCCAGTATGGAAGTCTTTTTTTCCCCCACCCTGTTGCACTTGGACAAGTATATGAAATGGCATGTACAGGAGAGGGGAAGGCTAGACCTTTGTGTAGGAATAGATGGGGAGCCAAGGATGGGGAACCTGTAGTCCTGCAGATGTTGTTGGGCAGCAGCTTCCATCAGCCCCAGCCACATAGCCAGCGATGATGGAAGCTGTTAAGCAAAAACAAATTCAAATAAGCATCTGGAGGACAATTGGTCTATTGTCTCAAGAGATAACGGAGTGGGCCTCCATGGATGAAGTCAAATAGCTGCGTTAGCAGCACCAAAGTGACCTCCCTGGAGCGCAAGCCTGGACAGTGCGTATGGAGGTCCTGGCTGCCCATACAAGCCCCCCCCCGGCCTTGCTGATGTGGTCCAAAGGAAGGCAGAGCAATACATCTGGCTCCAACTTGGCTGCAGGAATTACAGGAAGGAGGCATACAAGGTGCCATCAAACTGTCTTTGGGACTCCACTCTGGATTTGTATGGGGTTTACTCTTTAGCCTTTTCTTCTCCCAAAGCTATCCCACAAGACAGTGGAGGTTTAGGATCAGATCTCCTAGATGGGCTACCTTCCCAGGTTGACGAGCTCAATCTGCCCCTCACTTCCCTCTACAGCACATGCAGAAACCACCTTGACTGTTGGATCCACCATTGGTCTTGTCTGCTCAATCCACCAGAGCCTGTCTTTGCATGCAGGGGAAGTCCCTAACTCATTGAGGGTATGAGACCCATTGGCTATCTTTACCAGGTATAGCCGGCCGGCCAAAGCAGCTTCCCAGGGTGATGCGGCTACTGCATGCTGACAGCTTCTAGGAGCCACAGAGTGTGAAGTTCAAGGTGTCCCATTGCTGCTTTATATACAGTTCATTCTCTAGCTATCCCCCACTTGCAACACACCGTGGATCATGTTTAACCACATCTAGAGACAGAAAAAGTATGCACAGTTCTGTAAAATCAACCCTGGTTCTTATAGGAGCTTGGGGAGGGGTGGGTGGGAGCTCAGCACCTTTGGAATGTTTTTTTCATCCTCAGGTGCAAATGGCAGCTTTGGGCTTGTAGTCCCACAAACACCTGGAGGCCACAGGCTCCCCCCCCCACCAGCCTTAGCAGCAACGTAAAGCTTCCTCGCTCTGAACTTGGGCCAGATGAGTCTGCAATAGCGTACAATAGGATACTGTCACGTGCAAGGCGACTGGTGGAGGCATGTGAGGTCACTGCCATGATCATATTGCATGTCCAAAGGTTCCTGGAAGAAACATTTTCTCGTACTGTGCTCCTTCCAAGTTGTGTGGCGCAGCAGGGCTCCATCAGTCCAGCAGAGACTGTGATGCTAAAAACTTGTGTCTCACCTGCTCCAGCTACCTTCTGGGCAGACTGGGGCAAAAGCCCCTACTTTCCGGAAGCAAAACACTCCTCCCCTTGTTTTCAGCAGAGAACTGCATCTGGGATAGAGCTTGATAGGAGAACAGCTGTTGTCAAACTCCCAGGCCCAGTCAATGTGGCCAAGGCTTAGGGATGATGGGAGATGGAATTTCCCAACACCTGGAAGGTCGGCCTCCCCATCCCCTTGACAGCCAATGAAGTTGTTGCCTGGTCGCAAGTACTTGTTGCCCACCCTCTGCCGGAACCAACAGAGACTCAGCAAGCTCTGCCCCTTCACCAAGCACCCACCACTCCCAGCCCTAAATAAAACGCAAGCGCCAAGTCTATAACCTAGCGGCACAGCAGAAGGACAGGCCACCTTCAAACCCCAGCCACAATTAAAACACCAACAGGGCCTCGTTAAAGTCCTTTAATAATAAAAAATAGAGCTCTTTGGGGCCCGGAGGAAAAGAAGCCCCCCCCAGGGGTCTATAAAAAGGGCTGGCTGGCTGGCTCAGGCGGAGATGTGTGCAAGAACGCAGGCACAGCTACGTTTCCACCGCAAACGGGTTTCAGAAAATGGCTTTTCCCACTCTCCCCATGACAACTGCAGAAGAGGATGAGGAGGGTAGGGGTGGGGTGGGGGCCATGAGGAGAAAGCCACCTCGAAACCGGCGCAAGTGTACAGCGTCAGCGCTGTGTGCCACTGTAGACGCAAGGGTGCATGGGGTGTGGGGAGATTGGGAGAACGTCCCAGGCAGGTGTCAAGAGCAGAGGGAGAAGCTGCCAAGGCTGCTGGTGTGCGAAGTCAGTCTGGAGAGGGAGCAGATGGGCAGGTGGCCGAAGAAAGCGGGATCCGTCATGGGGTGCAGGAGGAGGAGGAAGAGGATCACTCCCAACAGGTAGAAGAAGACAACCAGGCAGCGCTGCGGGTGGTCCAGGGCTGCGCCGACAGCAGGGAACCCGACGTAGTTGCAGAAGGAGTGGCAGAGAACAGGCCCAATGAGGTGCCCTGTGGGGAGAGGGAGGAGGAGGGGATGAGCAGAATGCCTCCAGCAGATGCCATTTAAAATCCTAAGTCCCTAGTCCTTATGGGCTGGAGAGAAAACTCATGTGGAGTTGCAACAGAAATGGCTTAGGCTAAGAGTTCTCTCTGAAGACATCCTAATTCCTTTCACCACACACACGGACTGAATATTCAATTAACCTATATGGTACCTTAATGCTATTGCCCTAAGAAATCTGGATTGCTCATAATATCTGCTTAAATCTGCCTATCAGGGGAAGTACAGTGTTCTAAAGTAAAAAGAAGCAGCAGCACACACTGATTTTAGGCTATTTATTAATCCTGCCCTCTGCTTCCACACCACTTCTCCTTAGGACAACCTGGTAAGGCAGGTTAGGATGAAAGACAGCAGTCACTGAAAGATTCATGGCCAAGGGGAGTGCCTCTCTGACATTCATTCCTGCACCACACCAGGGGTGCCCTAAGGGAAGGGCTTGCATCACAACAGGCATCATTTCACATTCTCTTGTGCCTCCACCTCTTTCGGCTTTCCTCCTCTGGCTGACACTCAACATTGTGCAGCCCCTGTAAACTGCGCTGAAAAATTTCAGTCCCCCTGGGTCTGTTTGTAAAGCCTTCTCTCTTTCAGTACTGCTGCACCCACCGGAACTCACCCAATGCATGCCGATACCTCTCACCCCTTGATTCTCCGTGGCCCAGTTTTGGTGCCGTTAACCATTTGGTTTTGGTACCCGAGATACTCAAACTCTCTCACATGCATAATGTGATTGCCAGCTGCTACCTTGGGGTGCAACTGAGCAGGAGAGGGACAGGGGGATCCCAATTAACATAGGCAGCACCTTCTCATTCCTAAACCCCACCCCAAATGGTGCAATTCCCTTATTCGCTTTCCCCACCTACCTGTCCGGATGAAGATGAAGGCCGTGTATGTTCCAAAAACAGCTGTGTATGAAAACTGGAACACTGCAAAGGAAGCAGTCCGTCAGAAGCTGGTGGAGGGTTGAGAAGAGGGTGGTAGGGGGCTGGGGAGAGCATCCTTTTTTCAGGCAGCATCTTCTGGATGAGCAAGTTGCCCACACAGTGATACACCACATAATGAAATTGGCTTACAAACCACTTTGCTTGGCCAACGCCATCTACACCTTTCAGTCTGAGCTAAATGCCAATCTATATATTTGTGCAGAATGAACAATCAAATTCCTTAGCCCAGGTCAGACCCTTTTGTCCATCTAGCCCTGTACAGTCGTACCTTGGTTTTCAAACAGCTTAGTTGTCAAACGTTTTGGCTCCCGAACGCCACAAACCCGGAAGTGAGTGTTCCGGTTTGTGAACTATTTTTGGAAGCTGAATGTCTGACGCTGCTTCCGTGGCTTCTGATTGGCTGCAGGAGCTTCCAATCACTTTGGTTTTCAAACGTTTTGGAAGTCAAATGGACTTTTGGAATGGATTCCATTGGACTTCCAAGGTACGACTGTACTCTGAAACGCAGCAGCTCCCCTGGCTCTCCAGCAGAGATGGGCCTGCCTGATTCCTCCAAAGGAACATGCCAGGAACCGGAGCTGCGGATGGAACCTCTGGGTGCAAAGTGTGCGCTCTGCCACTCAGCTGACATCTCCTCCGGAAATGGTAACATGGCTGTATATGTATGTATATATCAAAAGGACCCTGTGGCCAATGTCCTGCCACCCTCTTGGCTTCTGATGGTGGGGAAAGTAAGGGACCGCCCAAGCCATACCTGCTGAGAGGAAGATGCTGGCTGTGCTTCCTTGGCGAAACCGTAGCTGCTCAATGACATGGTGAAAGTGAGCTAGAAAACAAAGACGCATCTCAGCACATGTGGCAGAACAGCCTTCTGAATGGCCTTCTCTCCCCCCATCATCTCCCTGCAAAACGCCAAGGTTCTTCCTGCGACGTTAGAAAAGCCCGTTGCATCAGTCCAGCATCCTGTTCTCACAGTGGCCGACCAGATGCCTGTGCAAATCCCCAAAGCAAGACCTGAGCACAAGAGCACTCCCCGTCCTGTGATTCCCAGTGGAGGCAGAGTACAGCCGTTGTGGCTAAGTTTTAGCCATTGATAGCTACTTCTCCTCTGTGAATTCATCTAATTCTCTTTTAAAGCCATCCAACTTGGTGGCCACCACTGCCTCCTGTGGAAGTGAGTTCCATAGTTTAAATCTGAGATGCATGAAATACTTTCTTTTGTCTGCCCTGAATCTCCCAACATTCAGATTCAGAGGGTGCCCACGAGTTCTAGTGTCATGAAAGTGGGATGTTTTTCTCTGTCTGCTCTCAATATGCCATACATAATTTTATAAATTCCTATCATGTTGCCTCTTACTCGCCTTTTCTCTAAACTAAAAAGGCACAAACGCCTTTCCTCAGAGGGGAGTTGTAAACAGATAAGGACATTGGCAGGATTGCTGTAATAACCTGCAGTTTCATAAGAGTAAATAATTAAAGTAACTGAATAAAAGAATAAGTGAGCTTTCTTTAGAATATGCAGGAAATGATAAAAAAAATTAAGAAGCCGCAGAAAGAGTAGGAAGGAAGTGCCCCAAAACTTTCTGTAGTAGAAACAAACGCTCCAGTTTTGGCCCTGAGAAATCTGTGGCTTTGTAGGCCTCACTGGACTACAACTCCCATCAGCCCCAGCCAGCAAGTGATGATGGGAGAAAAGTTCACCATCCTTGGTTTCAGGCCCACAAAAATGTGTCAGCCTTGTGCTAAGAAGGAACTAGAAAGTTCAGACAATTGGGTGAAGGCTGGGACCGCCTCAAGAAACAGTCTCCTCTTGCCGGGGAGAAATACGGCACTCACCGACTCCGAAGAACAGCGGGCAGGTGAAGACAGCAGGCCCCAATCCCGTGCAAGGGACGAGCATGGGCAGCATGCAGGCCCGGAAGACCAGCTCCTCCGTGAAGGGCGCAATGACCTGGTTGCGGAGCCAGCGCATGTCAGTCAGACAGAGAACCCAAAAGCTGGGGTCTGGGGGGGCGAGGAGGAGGAGTAGTGTTACTTACACCCCACCCCTCCTCTTGAGAAGGCACAGCAGTAGCAAAAAAAAAGGGGGTGTTTTGTCAATGGGTGTCCAAGAAGGAGGGGAATTATAACCACTTCGCCAGGGGCTTAAAGCACACATTCCACAGAGGCATGGAAAAGCAGGCACTGGGATGACATCCCATCAACCAGCCTTTGCCAACCTGTGAGCCTTCCAGCTGCTTTGGACTACAACTCCCATCGCTCCAGCCAGCATGAAAAGCTTGCTTCCTGAAATGAGCGCATTGCATACTGGGAGTAGAGTGTCATGAGGGAAAACAAGGAGACACTCGCTTTTTGCCCTACAGCAAGGCCCAAATGCAGCCTTCCAGGCCTTTACTGTCTCTGATCCTCAGGCTGCAACCCTTACCAAACCTGCTTCATGTCCCCCACCCACTCAGTGTTTTTGCCTGGCTGGAATATGTCTATGAACTCTGATAATGCTTCTTGTTTGCCGAGGACGGAAGACAGAGGCAGGTGGGTGGGTAAGTTCGTGTAAAAACTAGCCTCCTGTACAAGGGTAACGCTCACATTCATTACTCCAACTCCCTTTTTGCCTCTGGCTCTGCCCACCCTGGCATGTGGCCCCTGGAAGCTTCTCCAGAAGGGAATGTGGCCCCTGGCCTGTAAAAGCTCCCCAGCCCCACCCCTAGAGTCTCTCGCAGTTGCTCTCCAAGCTCCGCCATCACATGCCAATCTACGTGGTCTTACCAAACGCAACTTTCAAACCTTCTACCAGGTCCCAAGGACAGTCCATCGAGAGCTGGATAAGAGGACCAAGGAATAGGACCTGTGGGGCGAGGGAGAAGGAGCAAAGAACATGTTCACAAGCACATGTAAAAATCAGCCCTTGCATTTTCTGCACCTGGTGTGTAAATATGGAAGAGGCACATCGGTCAGCGTGGCATTGAGGGTTGTCTTTTCCCCCTCTTCCTTTTTAAAAAGCTTTTTATTGAAAAGTTTTAAACTAGTATAAATTGCCACAAATCAACATCATTATTCAAAATTTTGCATAATAAAAAGGGTATAAACTAAAAGTATAAAAGATCAGAACCATTTTCCTGGCAAAACATTTTGATTAGTACACCTGTTCCAGAATAAACAAGAATCTATTCCATCCCAACTATTCTTCAGCCTTTCCGCTTCATCTTTCTTGAAATGAAGTGCATTGAGTGGAGATTGCCCTCCATCAAAAAAGTTCTCTGTCCTATTTTTGTAGAGTTGGAAGGGACCATGAGGGTCATCCAGTCCAACCCCTGAAGCACAGGAAACTTTTGCCCAACACGGGGCTCAAACCCACGACCCTGAGAATAAGAGTCTCATGCTCTACCGACAGAGCTATCCTTTAAACCTCTTTACTCTGGCTTTTGAAACTTGAGGTGTACATCTTTAGGACCCACCTTATTTGGGGGGTTGTAAGTTACTTTAAACTGCTTTTAATATTGCGTCCCAATGTCGTAACCTGCGGTGGGACCTTAGGGTGAAGTGTAAGGCTGTACAAAGGTAAAATGTATATTAATTGCGCCCTACACTGGTCTCACCCAGAACTTGTATATGGTCCCCAGAAGGGAGAACGACTTAAATATGTGGGAGTAAATGAGCCCTGCTGAATCCTAGCAGAGCGCTGGCTGATCAAGAGCAGCACTTACCATGGTTAACAGCAAAGGCAGCACGGTTGCTGGTATAATGCCCTCAAGCCGGAAGCCCATCAGGGCAAGAAGGGATGCATCTGGCTGAGCAGAAGAGGAAACGCCTTCATTAGCCCTGGGGAAGCACAAATTCCCCGCCCCCAATAATCTGCCATAGCTTGCAATGGTACAATGCATGTAAGTTACAAAGCACCACCAGACATCAATTCACGCCACAGATCTACCTAGCTGAGGACTGTCTTCCCTGACTGCCCAGGGCTCCTGGAGCTCCTTTAACTGGAAATACTAAAAACTGAACCTAGGATCCTTTATACACGCTAAGAAATATGGGCTCCCCACTGGGGCACTGTCCTGGTGCTTATATAACAAATAGCTCATGACAGCTTTGCGGTGCCACCTAAAAACATGATTGTTCAGGCAAGCCTACCTGGGCTCTTAGAAATGCCGGTGTGAATTTTAACTCGGTTTAGTATTTTAACTTCATGTATGTTTTAACGTATTGTATTTTTTCCTTGATTCTATTATCTTTTTGTAAACCGCTTTAAGGTTTGCTTGTTTGTACAATCAATCAGTGTATAAATTTTATGAAATAAATGACGGCTTGCACAAGCAAGCCAAGCCACAACTGGAGGCATAGGAATACAGGAGGCCACTGGGTATCAAGTCAGACCACTGGCTCATCCAGATCACTGCCACCTGCAGTGACTGGCATCAGCTCCTCAGGGTTTCAGAACGGGTCTTTCTACATGGAAATATCAGGGGATTGAACTCGTGGCTTTCTGCATGCAAAGCAGGTGCTCTACCAGAGAGCTATGGTTCTTCCCTTAAAAATAAATTAAGGTTCCAGCCCTCATGGTTCTGAATAAAGGGCTGATCTAAATAGCATGGTGCCTTCCTGAATGCAAAGTTCTTACATTGTGCTAAAATCAGACACCACACACATCCAGACACTCTTGCATAACTGACAATCTGTCCCCCAGGACAATTTTCTTTTCCGTTAGGGCGACGGTAGATGGTTTCCATCATACAAGCGGTATAAAAAGCCTTACTGTAAACAATGTCACACCGTTCCAATACCATCCTATGTAGTCTTCACAGGCTCAGATGCCTGAGAAGTGGTGGTGATGGAGGCACTCCCATAATACTATACAAATGATTGTTCCAAAATGTACAGGGGCACGGCAGAGGCATCGGAACAGGAACGAGGGGAGAAGGCAGCAGCCAGAGTTTTGGATGGCACTGATCATGCCGATCACCAAAACAGTTTCGAAAGAATGTCACTGGCTGCCTATTTGTTTCCAGGCCCAATTCAAAAGGCTGGTGCTCACCCACTGAAGTCCTAAACAGCTTAGGACCCAAGTAGGACCCAACAGCCTCCTCCTGTACCAACCTGAGTGCACATAAAGGGTACCAGCCCACATCCAGCTCAGTAACTGGAGATACCAGGGATTGAACCTAAAACCTTTTGCATGCAAAGTAGATGCTCTACTTTGCATCTACTGTGCTGCAACCCACGCCCAAGTCGTTTAGGCACCAGGTAAGTTTTGGTTTTTCAAAAAATACCCAGATATTTAAAAACATTTTAGTGCCTTCAGCGTCTTAAACTCTCTGGCTTTTAAATGCTGACCGTTTCGTATGTTTTATTGTTTTGATTTTAGGATTTTAAAAGGTGGCATATAAATGACCTTACTAATTAAAGAAGCTTGAAGTGACAGAAATCTCCTGCTTATTTTGGCCAGGCATTTTCCAGACCCGGCCATGATCTCACCTTAATGCCTGTCACCTCTTTCCAGGCCCAGATGAAGATGGGTGAGAGGATGGAGACAATAAGGACGCTGGTGAACCTCCGTTTGATGACAGCTGGGTGGTCCCTGGAAGGAGAAAGGCCCAGCAGGAGAAGCTGCAGGAGCTGGACCTCTAGAGGCCCGGGCCGAGGCTGCCCACCCGGCAAAGATGCAAATCCCCACAAGGCAAGACTGCAGCAGGAGAACAGCTACAGTATTCACAGCGTTTATTTCTTACATAATATTTTACCCTGGGATAGGAACCCCCAACAGCTTCCCCCATTCAACGCGGAGCTTCCTGCCCGTTTGAAGAGTTTGCAAAGAAACCCACAGACTCTTGCCTGACCCATGTCTCAATCCAGGAAGAAAGCGATTATATAAGCAAAGTTATATAGTGCGGGAGGGGGGCCCGGCTACGCCAGCAAAGGCTCCTGGACATTACTGACTCCCAGAAGTTCCTGCTACCCATTGAAGACGGGCGTTCATAGCTGAGCGCGGACTTCAAAGAAGCCCGGCCACCTTAAGCGCCCACGTTTGGAGTGCAGCGTCGGATCTGCTGGCGGGGTAGGGGGACGACACTCATTTTACAATCTTTCCCGGTGCATTAAATGTTGCAACTGACTCTCAGAGCAACTTCTGCCTCACCTGGAGCACTCGCCTCCCGTCTGTTTGGGCCGTGGCGTTTTCGTGCAACCCCCTCCCCGTCCAGCCCCCAAAGAGCGGGAAAGGTCCCCCCCCCTCCTCGAGGGAGCCTAGGCGCTTCAAGGGAACCTGCGAGCAAAGACTTGGCGGGTGGGTGATGGGGTCGGAGCGAGCGAAAGGCGCAGCGCGCCCGGCCCGGCGGGGAGCCGATCGGGGCTTTTTTTCCCCCACGGGGGCGCATCTCGGCTCTCCTCCACTCACCTGGGCAAGTGGCTCTTCCACACGTAGAGGCTGCCCACATAGCAGCAGGCCAGGCTGAGGCAGGAGAAGAGCGAGGCCCAGCAGAGCCCCGAGCCGGAGCCCCCCGGCCCCGCGCCCGCTGCCGTCTCCTCCGACATAGGAGATCAGAACAGCCCGGCTGCCCAGGCAAGGCAGGCTGGGCCGCGTGGAGGAGCCTCCGCCTCCAGGCCGCGGAAGAGGAAGCCAGCTGAGCGGGCGGCGCAGCCAAGGGCAGGGGAGCGGGCCCAGCCCGCCAAGCAAGTGCGACGGTAAGACCCCCAGCCGGGGCAAGGCGGGGGCGCCGGGGCGGGGGCTCCACCCACCGCCCACTTAGCGGCTTGCAAGCGTTTCCCACGGCAAGCTCCACCCCCTCCCCACATTGCAGCGGTTGCACCGCTCTCCCCCCCCCCCCCAGTTCCCCGCTGAGAACAGACTGGTACTCCTGCCACCCCCCCCCACTTCATGCCCCAAGTCGATAAACGGAATGGTTTCGTTTTCCAATACTGTATTCATTCGCCCAACTTCTCTTCCTAGGAAGAGGGGAGCCACCATTTCTTTTTACTAATTGTAAGACAATCAGCAAATGCACAATTGTGAGGAGAGCTTCACCTACTGAATTTCTGTCTGTCATCCAGCTACGAAAGGCAGGAGCTCCCCTCACTTTTTGAAGAACAAAAAAAAAAGGCTCCCCATAATTTTCTGTGTATTTCTTTTGAAACTTTCCTCCTAAACTCATGCCTCTTTGGTAAGGGCAAAAGTCCCCAAACCGTTCTGCTCTGCACCTCTCCCTGTCTCTCAGAGCTTTCCTGCCCAGAATATCATTGCAAATTTCTCCACCTCACCCCTTTTCCTCTGGCAAATATGGAACCTGCCTTCACAAACTACATTCCTGCCCTGCACTTCTGGTGGTTGTATGCTCTTGTGTGCATGCTCTTTGACAATGCTTTTCCTCAGGACATGCCTGCCAATAATTTTTCAGGATTCTGCACTCCAGTGAACTGGTGTCTCTCTCCAAAATTAGGCAGGTGGGAGATTTCACTTTTCTTGGGTCCAGCAGTAGTGGTGGATATTTATTTGCCACGGTTACATATTTGCTCTCCAATTCATCTTTGTAATAGAAGGGAAATGAGACCATCAGTGATTTCCCCCCCTTTTATTGGCCTGCACAGAAATTCCAGAATGCAGAAATACAATGTCCTCAGGCTGCAACCATTTCAGGATGTCCACTTGGCCAAGTTTGAGACCTCTTGTTTCCAAAAGTGATCATCCTGTAATACAAAAGTGAAATCAAATAAGAACATCAGAGAGAATACTATTTTCAGATTTACACAGAAGCCTGTCCTAATATTATGTTCAGAGTCCCACACTCTGAAGTTAGGTGGGTGGTGGGCCAGGGAACTAGTATTGTTAAATGCAGGACCAGAGAGCCTTGCTTGGTGCTAGATATCATGCCCTTTGATTCCCCATTGAAATCGTTCTTATTTTCCCAGCCTTTCCAGAATATTTTGTACATTTTTTACATTACATGTTAAAAACAGGTTTTGACAACTAAGAGTTGTTGAAACTGATTCCATTGAAGATCTGTATTTACCCAGTTTTGAAAAGTGGAAAGGGCCTCTCAAAATGCCTTGCAAACTGCTTCTCTACTCTTGGCCTTGTTTTGCAGATGGGTTGATAGAACTCACTGGTGCTCCTCTGACAACGTATTGGGGATCTTTGGCAATTAACCATATGACTAGTGGCACCTACTACACTGCTTTCTTTTGGTTATTAACTGGAACTGGGATGGGCCTTTTCATTCTGCTTTGGTTTCATGGTGCAATATTTCTTGACCAACCTGCCATAGATTTTCATTGCTTCGGATTTTCTTCACTGAAGGACCTACAGACACCACCTGGCTTTTATCTTGGAGAGCACCACACCCAATTTTAGTTGCATATGAGAAGAAAGAGCTGGAAGAGGTGCCTGATTCTGCTAACAGACTCTTGTTCTTTTCCTTGCTTTTAGCCACCCCAGTGACATGTGGGTCTCCTGAATCCTCCACATGGATCTTCCTGCTTCCTTTTTGGCTCATTCCACCACAGTCTGAATTGACAAACAGAAATCCTGCAGAACATAAAACCAGGGCAGGACACCCTTGGTGTTCATGAAGCCACACACTCAAGTATAATTTGTGAACCACAAACATGTACAGGTGCAATTAACAATGCTGAAACAACACAAAAGCTCAGATCAACCAAACAACTACCATTATGCTTCTTTCATTCTTTAATTAATCTCATGTCACACACATGCAAAATTCACTTAGAGCATCTGGTGAGGGTCTGTTCTGGATTTCTTTGCCTTCTAAACCCAGATTTGCCTTCGCAGCCTTCACAGTCCCTTTGCCTTAGATGGAATTGTTCTCTGTTGATTTTTCTACAGACTTGCTAGTGTTACTTTAAATATTCTTACTATTTCTATGCTGCTTTGAATTATCTTGTGATGGCTGTATTGCTGCTTCGAAGGTTCCTGGCAAGTCAAAAGTTGACTTAAAATTATATTAATAAACGGGGGCCACCCACTAATGCCCTTTCTTCAACTGGATAATTTCTTGTTTACATTATAACCCAATAGCTTCATCTACTGAAAGGTGAAGAAATGACTGTACAATCCACCTTAGCCACCCCAAGTACAGTAGTGCCCCGCAAGACGAACGCCTCGCAAGACAAAAAACTCGCTAGACGAAAGGTTTTTTCGTCCGCGATTTGCCTCGCAAGACGAATTCCCCTATGGGCTTGCTTCGCAAAACGAAGCTTGCCCCGGGGACAGCGGGTCTTCTCTTTTGAAGCAAGGGGCTGCGGGGAGATAGCGATCTCCCTGCAGCCCCTTGCTGCAAAAGACGTCCGGGGGAAGCGGGGAAGCGAAGCGCTTCGCTTCCCCGCTTCCCCCGGACCTCTTCTGAAGCAAGGGGCTGGGGGGAGATAGCGATCTCCCTGCAGCCCCTTGCTGCAAAAGACGTCGGGGGAAGCGGGGAAGCGAAGCGCTTCGCTTCCCCGCTTCCCCCGGACCTCTTCTGAAGCAAGGGGCTGGGGGGAGATAGCGATCTCCCTGCAGCCCCTTGCTGCAAAAGACGTCGGGGGAAGCGGGGAAGCGAAGCGCTTCGCTTCCCCGCTTCCCCCGGACCTCTTCTGAAGCAAGGGGCTGGGGGGAGATAGCGATCTCCCTGCAGCCCCTTGCTGCAAAAGACGTCGGGGGAAGCGGGGAAGCGAAGCGCTTCGCTTCCCCGCTTCCCCCGGACCTCTTCTGAAGCAAGGGGATGGGGGGAGATAGCGATCTCCCTGCAGCCCCTTGCTGCAAAAGACGTCGGGGGAAGCGGGGAAGCGAAGCGCTTCGCTTCCCGCTTCCCCCGGACCTCTTCTGAAGCAAGGGGCTGGGGGGAGATAGCGATCTCCCTGCAGCCCCTTGCTTCAGAAGAGGTCCGGGGGGAGCGGGAAGCGAAGCACTTCGCTTCCCCGCTTCCCCCTGACGTCTTTTGCAGCTGTTCCGAAGTGGGGCGGGGGGGCGGGGTCACCTGCCCCAGCCGCCCCACTTCGGAAAGCTGTTCCGAAGCGGGGAGGGGGGGCGGGGACATCTGCCCCAGCCGCCCCACTTCGGAAAGCTGTTCCAGGAACAGCTCCATAGGAACCTCCATAGGCGCCCGTCACCTCTCCAGCCAGGAGAGCGCGCGCGGGGCTAAACCAGCCCCCGCGACCCTCTCCCAGCTGGAGAAGTGACGCGCGCCTATGGCAGGAGCCTCCATAGGCGCCCGTCACCTCTCCAGCCGGGAGAGCGTGCGCGGGGCTAAACCAGCCCCCCGCGACCCTCTCCCAGCTGGAGAAGTGACGCGCGCCTATGGCAGGAGCCTCCATAGGCGCCCGTCACCTCTCCAGCCAGGAGAGCGCGCGCGGGGCTAAACCAGCCCCCCGCGACCCTCTCCCAGCTGGAGTTGTGACGCGCGCATATGGCAGGAACCTCCATAGGCGCCCGTCACCTCTCCAGCCGGGAGAGCGCGCGCGGGGCTAAAGAAACCATAGCCCCGCGACCCTCTCCCAGCTGGAGAAGTGACGCGTGACTATGGCAGCAGCCTCTGAAGGATGCACCGAAGCCTGGCGTGGGGGGGGGGGCGGAGAGACCTTCTCCCCGCGCCAGCCTTCGGATGGCTGTCCTGAAGACTTGGGGTGGGAGAAGGGTTTTCCTTCCCACCGCCAACATTCAGAATGCTGTTCTGAATGTTGGCGGTGGGGAGGAAAAACCCTCCTCCCACGCAAGCCCCGGGAACAGAGGGAAAGCGCTGCGCGCCTTCCCCTCTGTTCCCGTACCTGTGCTGAAGGCTTGCGGTGGGGAGAAAAGCCCTTCTCCGCACCGCCAGCCTGGCAAGCGGTTTCCCTAGGAACGCATTAATTGATTTTCAATGCATTCCTATGGGAAACCGTGCTTCGCAAGACGAAAAATTCGCTAGACGACAAAAATTGCGGAACGAATTAATTTCGTCTTGCGGGGCACCACTGTACACCCAAATTATAAATACACCCTGGTCTCCACCAAGCATAGTCTGTTCCTAAGATAATCAGCTTCAACCCTGGCTTTCAGTTGTCTCATCTGAATGCCTTGGGAGCCAAAGTACGGCAGGTGACTAGCTGATGCGATGTTTCTCATAGGTTTAATCAGGAGTCCAGATACTACATATAACAGAGCTCCATATAATTCAGACAGACAAGGAGACTAAAGGTTAATATTCCAGACCTTTGATCCCTTCAAAATCCTACTTCAAAAGGACCTGAAGACATTTCATTCTCAACATCACAAGAACCAGCTGGTGCTAGGACTGTGTTTTGAGCATTATATAATGTAATTACTGCTGAAAATAACTCACTAAATGAGCTGCAGATTGTTAAGGAGCCACTACTGATTTTGTGTGTGTGTCCAAGGCCTATAGGGAAACCTGCAGCAGCATCGGGAGGGGCAGTCTCTCTCATCATCTAAACTCCAGGATCTCTGCCCTGCCTTTCTTTCTCTCTCTTAATTACATTAAGTACATCTGATAAAACAAGCGTTCCAACAATGTACAACAAACTGGATCTCTGTCTTGACTCCATGCACACACTTTTCTGATGTACCTTTTCCTCCTTGCTCCAGCTGTGCAGAACTGAAGTTCGAGCCCAATAACTTCTGGTGAATGGTGGGTAAAGGAAGGTCTGCACTAAGCAGCCCTACTCCTGCCTCATCGTTTTTAAGCAATGGCTGCAAAAGAAGAAAGGGACACACAATAGATCATAGAGTCTTAAGAGTTGGAAGGGACCCAAGGGTCATCTAGTCCAACCCCCTGTAATGCAGGAATCTCAGCCAAAGCATACATGACAGGTGGCCATTCAACCTCTGCTTAAAAACCTCCAAGGAAGGAGTCAATAATGTAAGGGAGGTGTTAGATCAAAAGTGCTAAAACTCTCTCAGCAAATTCACTCTGCAGGCCTGACCGGATAAGACATTTCATCTCGTCACACGTATCTTCATGAAATCAGTCACTATTATTATACCCCTTTTATAGGAAGGACAAAAGAGGCTCAGATTATTGATTTGCCAAGCCCACTGTGAGTCCAGGGCTGAACTGAGAGCCCAAGCCCATCAGCAGACATAGGCGCCATCTATGCAGGGCCACGGGGGCCCAGGCACTCACAAATTTTCAATAAGCACACCCCAGGCACCCTCTGTCATTGGGGGCAACGTGGTGCACCTGTCAGCAGTCATCGTTAAAAGATACCGTATTTCTCCACAAAATAGGCTAGACTGAGATCTGAACTGGATTCTAGAATAGATATTTTGGTGGAAGATTAACTCTTTGTTGCTAATAGTTGCAACTAGGGCTGTTTTGAACAGAAGATGGATGGAGATAGCACAAGGATCTAAGGATGGCCAGCAAACACACTTAAGCAGAGAAACTTGCCCTTCTGGTGTCACATGCACTGCTACATTTCCACTGGTTAAGAATGACTTTGTTGAAGGTATCTTTGATGGTCACTTGGAACTTCTGGGTATCTGCCACCTACAGATAATTAAATATAAACACAGGGAAAGAGAGAAACGGTTGTAGCTTTTACTCTCCACGAGGGAGGAAGTGAGCATGTCACTTTATTATTATTCATTAGATTTATATATTGCCCTTTATCAAAAGATCTCAGGGCGGTTCACAAGGTAAAATGGACTCACTTAAATGGAGTAATCTGGAAGCATGCATAATTTAACTTTATTCACTTATTCATTACATTTATTTCCTACCTTTCCTCCCAGGAGCTCAAGGCAGTACAGTATACATGATTTCCTCTACAACACACCCCTCCCCCACTGCACCATCTTATATTAACAACCCTGGGAAGGAGGTGAGGCTGATAGAGAGAGTGACTAGGCACAATGGGGATTTGTATCCAGGTCTCCCAGTCAAGGAACAACACTGTAACCACTACACCAACCAGCTTCTCATTGCCTTTTGATGTGCTAACCACTTCTTCCTCCTCTCAGATTGTATTTTAACTCTGAGCAGTATAGCTTGAACATGTGTTTGTTCAATTCATCCGTTCACTTCCCTCTTCTTCCACATATGCCTTTCTATAGTAAGTTCAAGGCATAAACCTTGAAAATCTCACTTCCTTATTCTATGCTTATTTGCACAGTTGTTACACCACCAATTCCAACGGCTCAGTGACATTTTATTATGAATATACCGGCCTCCACCTTAGTTATAGGACAGTGTGTGGAAACAAAACAAGGACAAACTTAATAAGCTATATATTACAGATGATACAAAAACATAATAAAACAACAGTTCCACAAGGGGAAACTCATAAAATTCATCCAGACCTCTCCCCCCCCCCAAAAAAAAGCTTGGTGGAAGAGGCGCATTGTAACGGTACCTGTAACATAAATCACTCTGGCCATACCTGCAAAGACTGGAGGCATTTCCTTCTGAACTCACTGTCAGTGCTGCTTGAAACTATACCTGAAATGGCATCTGCCATGATGGGCAAAGACTGTGCCAGTTTCTGCTGTTCCTGTGAAGACCCAAGAGCATTGCATGGCATTTGGGTGTCTTACAGCATATAAAAATCAGAGCAAGATTTCCCTATCCTGTCCCGACACTGTCAGCACTGGATATCATACCACTTCTCCAGAGAGCTGTGACAAGAATTTGAAGATCCCCTACTCTCTGCCCCATGCCCTCACCACAACTCTTAGCCTCAATGGTCCTTGTCTTCTGCAGTGAACTCTCACCCGGGACACTTTGTAATGCTGCTCCAGGATCCTACTGACCACTCCTTGGATGCAGCCTTTCACAGCTTGTTTGCTGCACAACAGGATAGGAGAGAGATGTGATAGGATCACTTGCCGGTCCCCTGCATCACACAAAGAGTGAAAATGACAAAGGATTAAATTAAGGATTAAATCTAGGTAAAGGGCAGTGGATGCCAAGTGGTCAAGCTGCAAATATTATATGCAAAAATTAGTAAAAGAGGAATGTACCAAACCCTCAGAGACCACAGTAAGGTATGTTTTAAAGAAACAAATACACTTTTTGATATTATAGAGATAAATTGACCTGACTGGCCCTCTAGAGAAGAACCAGGAAACAGGATTTCAGATGGGGACCAACCTTTTACTCATGAGCTTTATACTGTTTGAATGTAGGAATACTTAGCAAATGAAAAGGTTGGACTTCCAAAATACCTCTAAGGGCAATGTCTTTGTTAGGCCAACTAAAATGTCACAAAATAGTGTGCAAGCTTCTGAGTTCGCCAGAACTCTTCATCAGAGTGCTGGGGGAGAGGGGTTGGCCATGAGTCTGCATCTTTTAAGAGCCTTAGGTTGTAATGGAGGAGGAGGCAGCAAACAAAGTTCTGCAGGTTTCAGGTTGCACCAAGGCACCACTGAGGAGAAACAAAAACTGATTCCCCATCTCTGGGTGGGCAGCTATTACTCAGATCCAGTGCTATTTTTCTGGGGGGACACAGGGGTATGCATACACCTAAACATTTTGTGAATCTAAGTTTGGCCTCATTGAGGGGCAGTATTTCAATATGAGTAGGAAAATGAGAGTACCCCTAAAACTTTTTTAGGGGGGAAAAAGCACTGCTCAGATCTGCCTCCATCCTCAGGGGAAACATGCAGGTTCCTTGTGTTTATTAAAAATATAACTGTTAAGTGCTGTGCTTGATAAAAATAAGTCAGAAGAAGCTGTACTAGGCAGCTTTACCTAGCTGGAGCTGTTCCTCTCAGCAAATCCCCCAAAGCAGAAACTCTCATGGCAAAGACAATATCCTCCTCTTCAAATATGAAAGACTGCTTTATTAAACCATGAAAAAACAAGTAGGGGATTACATGTTGAGAATTGTATAATGATGCATAGTAAGGAATCCAGAACAATTGACGAGTATCTGTTCTAGGATCCAAGCACGTAAAGGGCCAAAAGCAGTGAAAAGCTAAAAGAGTGCATACACTTGTTTTGGCTCTGCTTCTCCAATGCCCTGGATTCTGAATCTGTGTGCATGCCCTTCTGCTCACAGCCAATGTTGCAAAGTGTTCTTTAACTGGGCAGTTATTTGAGGGAAATGGTCTCTAAACCACTTTCCCCCGCCCTGGCAATTTGCATTTTGTCTGCCGCCCTGGGCTTTTCAGAAAGAAGGGCAGTATATAAATAATAATAGTAATTATTATTATTATTTGTTTTGTTTCTAAAGACAATAGCTGTGAGCCCCACTAAATGTTCTAAAAACCACATCCACACAGAATTTGTATTTTTAGTGTGGGGTAAACATGACCCTAAATCTCAGTTTAAATAATTCATCATCTCTGGCCAGTCTTCAGATGGCAGATCATTCCAAAACTCATATGGTACATTATTCTATTACACTCCCCAGAATAAGGTAGAAATATAAATAAATAGCAGCATGTACAGAAATTATAGACTGTCTTGTCATTAAACTGATCTGAGTAGCTGAGAAAGAGGAAGAGCAGTAGCGTTTGTTCCTGAGCATCTGAGTCCTGTTGGTGGCTGGCATGAAGCTTGTATCTGATATCAGGTTTTGCCGTATCTAAGAGACAGAACACATCACATGGCATATATAGATAGCACCAAGGATGAATGACTGTATCAAAGCAATTGGATGGTGTCAGGTAAACTAATTCCCCAGTATGTGCTTCACCCCCAGTTTTTAAAATACCTAATCTTTTTGTTTTGAAACTCTTTAGTTTAACACCCCTGCTGTGCAAGATGGCAGATTTGAAGGCACTTTGAGGGCAAATGAAGACATTCCATCTTTGTACTTATGTCCACCTGCATATAATGATTGTGCAAGAATTTTTAAAAAAAATTATTTAGATTTGTATTGCAAAGCTATAAAAAAAATCAAGTAGGGCCAGCATCTCTTTTTAAAAGGAGGCTGGAGCTCAGGGCCATTTGACAAGCCCTCAAGTCCCGCCTCATCCTGGAATAGTCCGTGAGGACGAATGTCATACTGTATAGCCAAAGCCCAAGTGAATCATCAAGGCAGGTTTTTTTAATGCTATCTGCAGGAGAGAGACCACCCTCCTGTCCCTCTATTTCTCTAACCTGTTCTGTTATATGTTTCAAGTTGTTTACAGTTTAAAGAAAGTGGCTGGCCTCTTATGGTCAAGCTGTATCACAAACCAAAAGTCAGTGGAAAGTTACTTCCTGCTCCAGCTGGCCACTGAATTTTTTTTACTCTGCCTCCAGGAGGACTTAACCCTTGCCTCTGTGTTCCACTCCTCCACTGACCAAGAAGTAGTGTGTTAAGTTTGAATGCAGAAGACACAGATTCCAACCTCAAGCTGTGAAGCTCAGTGGATGGCCTTAGGTGAGCCACTCATTTCTCTCACCTATACCTAGAGACCTAACTACATGTTATATTGGCCGCATGCTTCCTTGCATGGTCCCTAGTTTCCCCACCACCAAATGTGTTGTTGCATGAGTTTTCACCAAGCATGAATGCTTGTTCAGTCCTGTGTGATTATCCCTCAGGGTCCATTCCAGCTCTACAATTCTATTATTCCCAAATACTGTCCAATCACGCTTTTCCGTGCAAATATCCATATGTTCTTCCTAAACCAGTGATGATATCCCATCAACCTTCTGCTTAATTTCTTTCATTCTAGCCAAATAATCCCTCCTTCTCTCTTGCATTTCATTAAAAACAACAACTTGCATTGGCTATTTCTGTTCACCAGATACCACCAGAACATTTTTCTTTTCTTACTTGTTACTTCTATGCATGAGTTGCTGGCAACCCTAAGTTATGGAGTTAATTAGGGTAATTAGGAAAGTTGTTATTTGCACTGAAAATACAATATACAAAATATTTCTGCTTTCAGTCCCAGGGGTTCATGAGACTCCCCCAAGAATTTACATGGATAGCATATGTTTTTCATGTTCACACTGGGCACAAGTAGTTGTGCAAGTGACAAATATATCACCTTTACCTTCTTCCCAATGGGGATCTGAATTCAGTGTTGCCTGATAGCCATATTTCTCCCATGTTATTAGACATGAAGGATCTTTAAAAAAAGAACATGATGCTTCCTTTGTGGAGAACAATACAGGCAGACCTGCTGGGTCATAAAGAAAGATATATTACTAGCTAAGGAAAAAAATCAGCAAATGAATGGTGGTATTGATATCACAGTACATGGGCGTAGCCAGGATTTTTGTTGGGGGAGGCAGGACTACACCTATGTTACAGTAGACCTGCAAACAGTAAACCTTACTCCATATAGATTCGCTTTGACCTTCAACTCACTGATCACAGCAAAGGATACAGAGACAGCAGCTATTTGTGCTGGCTTGTTAGGGTATGGTTTCTGGCAGGGACACAGGGAGACAACAGGCATGAGCCTTAGCTCTCCACTGAAGCCTCTTTCAGCTACCTCATCTGGAATTAAGAGGCAAATTGGCTCACCAGTCATGGGGTGGATTTTGTCACAAGATGAAGGCACATCCCTGGCTGCTGACCTGGTCATACACACAAAAGAAAGGGATAAAGGGGTTTAGGAAGAAAACAAGGAAATAGCAGGAGGAAGGCAAGACTGGCCATGGGCTAAACCAGCTTTCTCCAACCTAGTTTCCCTCAGGTGTTTTGGACTGCAACTCCCATCAGCCCCAGTCAGCATGGAGGGCACCAGCTTGAAGAAGGCAGGGCTAAACCATAGTGTTTTCAGGCCACATCTGACATCCACCTGCAGCTAACAGACCTGTACTGCGTTGACAGTTCAGATACTTTTGTATCAATCAGCACTCTATTAGGTTTGTCACATCTGTGAGCTAAACAAATTCAAATTATGCAATCAGGAAATAACACCCACATTTTGTGACTGGTTATAATTTGCTCAAGTTACACAGACTCACATAAATTTCATTAGAACACTAATTTGTTTTTGAGCAAACATACATGGGATTGCATAGCACCTTCTTTTTGCCACAGGCTAAGTTGTATACACACACCACTTTGTGTAGCATAGCATGGTGAAAATCTCTTACAGTCAGTAAGAGAAGTGTAGCCTGCAACAAAATGTTGCAGTGTATCCTTGTTTTCTAATGGGAATCCTTCTGTTTAGGGTTTCAAGCCATCCAGCCTGCCATGGCGCCCTCCCCCACAATTATCCACTCAAAGTCCCTTAATTTTCCATGGCCACCTGGAGGGCATCTGAAGACATTCCATCTTCATACTTATTTAGGGAGTTGTGGGTATGTGGAACTGTCTCGTAGGTGCCTATGACAGGTCCCACTTGGCGGCTAGCTTTGGTTTTTCTAAGGTGCTTGTTTGACAAAAGCCAGGGATCCTTACTACACATCCAGCTCTCTGCTCCCATGTCCACCAGATGGCAACACAGACTGCTTATGAGATAAGGTGTTCTCTTCTACTTCTTTTTAAAAAAAACATCTCAGCCAGTATTTTTGCAAGCAAATAACTGAGGTGCCTAAAGCAGGGCTTTGTGACCAGAAGATTAAGGAGATGAAGGAAATATTCTGGCGCCCAGACTCCTTCACCCTGCAGCAGCATTGCTTAACCCTCTCAATGTCTGGCATTCATCCTAAATTCAAATTCGGCCAGCAATGGAAACTTACTAAGGTCACCTACAACAGTGCTCTAGTAGAGTTCCTGTAAACTGACACAAGGCTTGTACAAAAGAACTTCCAGTCCATTGTGCCCAAAATCTTTTGGCTCCAGTTTTGTAAAACAGGAAGAATAACATTCTGCCCCCTTTTAATCTTTTCATCATGCCTCGTACAATCCCAAACATTCCACTAGTGTCCCTGAATCCCATCTCCATTATTAGTGCTCAACAGTAACTGCTAACTTAGTGCCTGCAATACAGACCCCTTCCTCCAACTCCTCACCTCACAAAATGACTCCCGTCACTCAGTAGTCTTGTCCCACCTGGCAAACATGTGGCAGCTCCCCTCTCTGTGCTAGACAGCAGAAGGAATATATATTTTGAACAATTACTGCATTTGTTTTGTTTTGTTTTATCATGAAACAGAACACCAATAAAAAAAAATAAACAAGACCCCCTTCTACACCCTTTCCTTAGCAACCAATGCTCACAATTTTCAATTAGCACTGCACACCATTCTAAAAGGAGCAACACAGAATATGCTGCAGCATGACCAAGTTATATGACTGGGCCAGTTAATTTTCAAGAACTTTAAGGCACTTGAACTTTAGGGATAATAGCTTGGACCTGGGCACCATATCCATCTTTTGAAGGAGAAAGAGAGAGACAAATGGAGATAAATAATATAAATAAGTGGGACCTACAACAACATGTCACAGAATAGAGTGCTACCATTTAGGGCACTGAAGAGAAATGAAACAGCAGCAGAAGATTTGTTTTGGGTTTTGCTTTGCTTTTCAGATTCTCCCAGGATTGGGAAGTTCATTAGCTTTCAGTTATAGAGAGCGCAAGATAATTTACTAACGCTGTTTAGACTCCTCTGATAGTTTCAGGACCTTTAACATACAAATTACACTTGGGTGTATATGCTTACAACTTCACTGCTGATAGCCACTTGCCAAAAGTGAATAACAACTCCTCCCTGAAAAGGAGCTTACTAAATGCACTTCTGAAAACACTCTGACCTGCAGGCAAGACATAGAAAAATCCAGAAGTATCTGTAAAATGTGGATTCTGCAGTTTTTTCTTATGGACCTTTTCTTTTTAAGCTAAAATAGAGAATCAAAACAACTCTTCCTTTGTCCTTTATATTCAACAAAATGGTGTATGAGATTTTAAAGGTATTGATAAAAGGGAGATGAAGATTATGTTTTGAGATTAGGAACAAAAATGCTAACACAAACAATTTAAGATAAAGGAAGTCTGGGCAGTACTATCCATCTTTCCCCCCCCCCCCTGCCCCACTTTTTACACGAAAAATGAGATTGGGCTTTAGAGCTGCAAGACTATGTGCATGGCTATGTACATATTGTTGCCTTAAAATGTTGCTAGGTCATTCTTTTTCTCAATTCAGATCAAAGCTGGTGTGGAGGAGAACACATAAAAATGCAGTATTCTTAAGAAATGACAGGATAGTTACGGATTGTGGCTAACATTGTGTGCACACTTGACAAACCAGCAGCAGGTGCACATTGAATGCAGAGTAAACAGGAGTGCGCACACAGCCTTAATGTTAAATAAGAGCCTGTTCAGCCTAACACAGGCCACACTGCCAAGTGCCAAATCATTGGCAACTTATTCAGGGCAGTGAAATTTCAGGCTCTTCTGAAGCCATTGAAAGGAGAACAGGACATCCTTTGTTCTTGGCACACACTGAGTAGGAACTGACAGCAAAGCCACCAGGACAGACCTGCCTGCAGAATTCAACACGGGCAATTCTGCAGACCAAATGAGATTGACAGAGACTCTCACAATCTCTCCTGTTCTCAAGGAAAACCTGTAAGTACGTTGGCCCTAAAATATTTAGTTTAGAAACCATATATACATTTGAGATGGAAGTGTGCCTGTAGGCTTTTGAAGTGACAACAAAAGACAATAAAGACATCTAGGTTTAGCAGTTTGGACTTATGCTGATGAAAGAAACCCCCAAGTATCTCAGGATACATGTTTGGGTTGCAACCCTGAGCAGGAGCTGCCCTGCTAGCAGGTAAAGGATGCAATATTGTTTTTATTTTGGGGGAGGTGGAAGTTCAGGTCCCTTGTAGTATCATACAATGATTATGCTATACTGGGTCATGGTTAACTCAGTCATGGATAGCATCTGCCACACCAATAGAGAAAAGGCATGCCTCAGCTCTCTTGTTGCCAGGCCAAGGGCTGGGTTCTTTCCCCCCCTTTTCAGCAGGCGCGATAACTATTGTTTCATGTCAACTGGCAGAACAACTGAACCTTATAAACCTTTTACAGTCATCAATATTACTTCGTGGTGGAAACATTTACTCACTTATAGGTCTCAGCAGAGATTGAGCTGTTCACTTTTACACAATAATGAAATTTTACCTACAGAGCAGAGCAGTAGAGATTCAAGTTAGACTCAAAACAGCAAAGAAACATAGGAAGTGGCTTTCTATCAAGACAGACAATGGGTCCATCTAAGCTCAGTTTTGCCTCTTGTATCATCTGGGGGGTGCGGGATGCGCAGGGAAGATCTGCATCCTGATCTGTGCTAGGATGGAGAAGTGCTGAGAGACTGCAGGGCCCATGGTAAGCCAGGCAAAAAGCACAATGCTTTAGTAAAGAAGGAGTGAAAATTAGCATAGTGGGTGGGCTGAAGGAAGAATACCTCTCAGAAAGTGCAATGTTAGTCCTCAATCCTGACATTGGGAGGCATGGCTTCTGAGTTGGA